TTTTTGTCTTCATTTAAAATGGGAAATTTTTAATAATAATAATAATAAGTCCATACTTCTATAGCGCATTCTGCAAAAAGCCTCAGTGCGCTTTACAAAAAGAAAACAAGCAGTGAATAAATTTTGACTTAAACTACTGTACTTATTATCCAGAACATACTATGTATCAAATGGTTTACTTTACCGCCTGTTAAGACCATAGGCCCCTCTTGAAATAGTTATGAAAGTTCCGATTATCATTAGGATTTATTACTAGCCTAGCCATTAGGGGTAGGGATAAAAAAGCACTTCTTATGATGAATTTTTTATGAAAACATGAATCAATACACCCATTCTTAAAATTTTCATTTTTTAGATTCAAAATACGGTTTCTAAAAAATTTAAAACGCCGGATATTTCAGGGAATTCCCCTACCCCACACTGGAAATTAACAGCTCCCAGCACCCCCGCCAACTAGCAATAAAGAGTTCAGCAACTAATCTTGCACTGAGCCAGTTCACACCTAGCTACGCCACTGATTTCCAAGGAACCGTGGATGATTATTATGTACAGTACAGAACTGTAATTTATTAAATATAAATCTGCAGTTATAAATCAGCTAAATATAGATTAATGAATAATAATTAATGAATAATTTCATAATAATACTAGTTCTTTTTCCTTATTCACTTCCTTTCCTTTTTTTTTCCCATTTCCTCATTTAATTTCTTTTCATTTCTTTTTTTTCTCTTTTCTTTTCCCTCCCTTTTCATTCTGCTGTCATTTCTTTTTGAATTTTCTGTTCATTTTCCATGCTTACAATACATTCTGTCAGGGTTAGTTACACAGTGTTTGCTTTTGGTTTCCATTGAAATGAAAAAAAAAAATGAAATACAATGTACATAATTCAATTCAATTCAATATAATCTTTATTCATAATCTTCATTCAAAATTACAATAAAGATATACTGAACAGATAGAAAAATAACTATACAGAGCAAGGTTAATCTATAAATCTTGTTTATACTATATAGCATAGAGATCTCCATAGAGTACCACAGTCGTGTCGTCACAACGCCAGGTGGCGCTCTCTGTTGTCAACAGACGTAGGTTTCCGTTCATTACGCCTGAATAAATGCATACTGTAGGCTTTCTGGAATAGGCATTTTAAAATCTAATATTTTACCATCAAAATGTACTAACAAAAAAGCTCGCATTATATTAGTTATCGAACACCCATTTAATCATAAATTAAAATTTGCAAAACTTCAAATAGTATAAGATTATTGTAAAAAAAACCCATTAAAACTAGCATTATAACCAATTCCACACATTTCCAAAATGTAGCAACCTTGTGAAAAGTTCAAGAAAAAAAAAACCTAGACTATGTACCCTGTCTCTTGTTTTGTACAATTGATTCCTTATGTTTATTGTTCTGTGTCAATATCTTGTATGCCTTGTTGGAGACAAATCACTAATATCCAGCTTTCATATCCACCACATACTTGAGTGGTTCTCCTCGAACGTACCTCCAGTAATTCTCAGTAAGTGCTGCAGCAACCTACAAATAAAATTAGACATTTCATCAGTATTGTGTAGAGCTTGAGAATTTGGGAGAATTTAAAATTGAATAAAATTCCCCACCTCCCCCCACCCCCAAACTTCAAAAACGTTTTGCTACCATTGGTTAAATGTATGAATCAATCCATCAACAGATATTTTTAAAACTCCAATATCCACAGCAGATGCTAATGACATTGGCATTACTCAAAGTACACCTATTAAGAAATTTAGTTCACTATACAGTACATACAAAAGGTATATACTTTATGTAAATATATATATAAAGGTAAATAAATATAATAAACTGAAACGTACTTACATTTTTCCCAAAAGTTAAACCTGCTTCATGTGGTGATATTGTTATCTAAAACGGCAAGTTAAAAAAAATTGTAATTGAAATGTATTTCAATTTAAATACTATAATTACATGGGCATAGGTGGGGGATAAAGGGGTGGAGAACTGTGGCAAATTAGTTCCACTAAGTGGGTTGAAACACTAAAAATGACAATCAAATTTTAATTGGAATAGCGATTTAGCTTCACAGCATCAATTTTCACAAATTTCTCTAAACATTCACAAGGACAAATTAATATATTTCTTAAGTGTGGCTATAACAGCAAACTTGACTGACTTTGAAAGTAACTAGGAAATAGCATACCTCTTTCATGCTCCATAAAGGACTCTCTTGAGGAATTGGCTCTATAGGCTGAACATCCAATATTGCATGAGAGATCCAATTTTCTCTGTGAAAATAGGCAGATATAAAATAGATGAGGCTTAAGGAAAAATACATATTCCCAACCTCCTATCTAAAAATTAAGCCGACGCAAATCAATTTGCATTGTGGAAAACCAGTTTAAGAGACAGAGCAGGCCACGAATCGATTATCGTCAAATAATCCTTGTATCATTCTCACCTTATGGCTTTAATGATACTTGCTTCATCCATAACATCTCCTCTTCCAACGTTAATAAAAATTGGTTTCTGTAAGTAAATGATTTAAATAATATAATCACATCAGGAACACTGTTTCATTTCAAGATGACCAGGTTTGCAATTTGACCTCAATACCATTGAGGAGATATCATGACCAGAACTGAAAGATTGTGTATAGAATGGAGTGGAGTTGTGGTTTGGTAGTTAAGAGTGACTTTATTTCAAAATAAATCCATATCTATATACATATACATATGTATTATTATTATTATTATTACTTTTTTATTATTATTATTAGGGCTACACGATAAAAGTTGTTTACTTGTTTTGTATGCATTTTTCCAATTCCTTATGATATGATCATTTTATTCACTATAATTGTTGTTGAACATATATTGTAATGTATTTTGTTGATGGAATTGGAAATAAAGTTGCATATTTATATTTGATTTGAGATAATATGCTTGCCTTGTTACTTAAAAACAGGATTTTTAAGTAACAACTCAATGCTACCTTGTCCTTGCTTATTTAAAAAAACATTACTTCCCTGCTTACTGTAATACATTAAAATCAACATTACTATGTATTTTGCACTTTACAAATCCAAATTATTATTATTATTATTATTATTATCTATGTAGGCCCGTAGTGTATATTACCTTTTCTTTAGCATCCGCTAAGACATCACCAGATAAAAACCCAATAGTTTTAGGAGTACTTGGTAGAACATTGCACACAACGTCACAATTGGATAAAAGTACAGGCAATTCAGAGGTCAAACTGTAGAAATTAAAAATAATGTAAAAAGGAGAGAAATCAAGTATTCATGTATTGTAGTTATATAGCAAATATTTTGTGTAAAATTGCAAGTATAAAGACAGAAAAGAGAAAAGACAAAATATATAGCAGAAAGGGTTATATTATTATTAGTATTATTTCTTACCAATAGCGGTCTACACAGCATGATCTTTTCTCAATCGGTAATTCTCTTCTCACCATACCCCAGACCTTCATGCCAAAAGTTTTACAGTATTCAGCAACTGGTAACCAAAGAAAGAAAACAGGGATAAACCGATCAAAGTTTATTTGGTAAACCAACATCATATATTGTTTTTAATAACATCATATATTGTTTTTAATAACATTGATTCAAATACAAACTTTAATTAAGAAAACAAACTTTGAGATCCGATGTCACCAACTCCAAGTATTCCAATAGTAAGTTCTGATAACAGACGGTATGGTACTATTTTTGAACCCCTGTTAAAAAGAGTACAAATACGATGATTTATTATCATTATCTAGGTCATTAAAGATAGTACTTTTCACAGTCACTGTTACAAAGGAAAAGGTGGGCTGTGGGTCAGGTGATCACCAAGGATTCTGTGGTAAGGGCATTGTTTAAAGGGCATGTCTGATCGATTTGAAGGTCTATTAGGAGAATCATTGAAATAATTGTTATGGAACAATTAAATAGCTAAAACACCACCTCACCATATTTTGGCTTTTTGTGCTTCATAGCACTTATAAAACCTCCGTTCATGCGCTATCAGCCTGCCGATGACATATTCACCGAGGGGTACTGCTAATTCTTGTCCAAGTTTACAAAGAGAGAATTCTGGCAAAGGCTTTGAATAATCAAGGTGTTTAAAAAACTCATCTTGTCCTGTGAAATATAATATCAATGATTATTTTACTGCCAGTCATAGAATAAATGAAATTTATTCTATGGATAAAGCATCAAATATACAGTATTAGTTATAGCTGAAAATTCACTTACACCATGGAGGTATAAAATTAGAATTATGATTGATATAAGATTCCAGCATTTTCAGTATGTGTCTTATTGTGAGTTCATCTTTTAATTAATTTTACAATAACTTTTTGTTTGGGGTGTAATCTTTGTTTTAATTTCATTATATTCAGGGGCGGATCCAAGATGGATCTGCCAGGGTGGCGTGAAGCACACCTACGAGGACCTTGGGTCCGAGGGAGGAGGGGGTAGCTTCCAGGGGGCAAATTGGCTGGTGGCAGCCAAGGGCCCCCTGGAAGCTTTGCATTACCTTATCAAACAATTTTAGACGGTTTAATAAAAGGAAGCAAATACATTTTGTACTTGTCAGCATTTTGACTGCCCATATACACATCGGTTGCCAAAAATATCACTAAATTCGAGGCCAGACTAAAGAAACATCTGTTTGACCAGCACTTCCCCAATTAATTCTTCTCTTTCTCGCACTATTTTTTTCCACTCTCATATTTTTTTCCTGTCTTGCTTGGCTCTGGCACCATGAGCGCTCCATGCAGATACCAGCACCTTATAAATATCCGCTATTAATATTATTATTTCCTTATTCAATTTTTGTATTTATTTGCAGACACAGTAATATGATGTACTGGGAAATGAACAATACAAGATTGTAGGCCTATCTTTCGAGTATCTACATACTGCTAAGCAAACAGAACATAAAAAAAAAATTTTTTTAAATGGTCCTTAAGTCTGGTTATTAAGCGTCTTTCTCCTATACTAGGGAACATGGGCATTTATAATGATAAATAAAAGAACTTTTATAATCTTTTTTGAGTGTTTGATCACTAGTATATTAAAATGATAAAAAACTTTAATATTAATATAGACGATAGGCCTAAACGATACAATGTATATTTGCATGTAGGTATTTGATCTACTGATTGAAAAACGTTCTAAAAGGCAAATCGGAGTCAGGGATATAACGTTGTGTTCGTGTAAATTGAGCAAAAAAAATGCGAGCGCCCACTTCGCCCCCCTGCTGGATGAGTTATAGTACAGTTTACTGGGGCTCCAGACTTTTGTCATGGAGACTCTGTTGCTATTAAACTTTAAATGACATAATTACAATTAATTTATGGATACACACCTGCCCATGTAGACTGAACCCATTTTGTGTGTGGCAGCTGTTGATAAATATGTGACAACAGATTTGGATCTGATACCAAAATTTCAGCTTCCTTCAACCGATTCATAGCAGTCTCTGAAATTTCAGGATCTAACAAAAAGGCAAAAAAAGTTGATTAATAATAACAAAAATAACATAATTTCCCTGTAGTGACATAAAGTTGATTAATAATTAAAAAAAAAAAAAAAAACATAATTTCCCTGTGATGGCATATTTTATACTACTTTAATTTTTGCATCATTCTTAATTAAGTTGATAATACTTCAAGAAACATTTTTTTGTAATGGTTTAAGATTAAATTACTTTAATTAGGTTCCCCAATCTGTGAGGATTTTTCCAGTAGAGCAGCTATATCATCACCGGACTAATTTCATTCCGGTTCTCATTGCTATGCATAATTGATCCTTTTACATGTAAAACCAGACATCGCAAAAACCTGTGAAACTTACAAGATATTAACCAAAAGGTCCACTGATTAAACTCAGGTAAGAAAGTATGATACATAATCTAAATACTGAAATCCACACCACCGTCTTGTTGAATCGTCTTCATTCCTGATGATGACATAATGTTGAAATATTAAATCCCAACATGATGGTGTGCATTTCAATACTTTGAGTACGTATTATACTTTCTTATAAGATATTCACCGCCATGTATCTGTGTACATACTCACAAACAAACCTTGTCTATCAAATACGGAAAATGCTAAGCCTTGTTTATTGGTAACTGCAACAAACTGAAGTGGTATCGTAGCATCTACATTTTTAATTTCATCACAGATGCTCGGATATTCACTAAAAATTGTTACTATGGGCAACTTCTTTTCGGCAGCCATTCTTTTAAAAACAATATGAGCTTTTGTTATTTTAAGTCTTCTTATGGTGGGTCTTGCGTACTTCAGTGTGGAATACATAAACGTCTAAAGAAGAGAAAACATACTGGTATCAGTGGCGGATCCAGGATTTCAAAAAAGAAGGGACCCGAGGAGGTACTTTCACAGATGGACAATCTATACCTCAGCCCCAACCATGGTGGCGCTGAGGTAAGAAAATTTGTCACTGATTATGGCATTTCTAGATGGCCTGGAAATTGATCCCTCAGACTTAAAATTTGAATATATTTTCTTTATATCTCCATTTAAAAAAAATGTTGAACAATTTAGTGGGGGGGGGGGAGGAAGGAGCCCAGGCCAGCTTCTCCCCACCCCTTAAATCCACCACTGGGTATATAGTTCCAAAAATAATTAATATGCATTATATCCATTTTCACATTTTTTTCATTCATTTGGACATAAGGTCCTCCTTTATTTCTTTAGGGCAGGGGTCCTGGAGCCAAAGTAAATTTTTGATTTAACACATCTGCCCCAGAAGGCCGCACCCAAACTTTGACATTGCCAGTGTGCTTCCAAAGACACACCACTTTGATCTCAGTTTTAGTGTTACTTTTTACATATGATTGGTGTCGGACGTGAAAAAAAACAAGGTGTTTTCTAGCCACAAAATAGGCCTAGGGTTTAATTCATTTTCGTGGGCTACAAACAAATTTGTGTCAGGCCGCATGCGGGGGACAGCTAGATCCAGTTCTAATAAGGGAGACGCATCTTCTAAATTTGAAAATAGTTTCAGTATGTTGCTCAAATATTTTTTAGTAAAATAAAAACTCTTCAGATTTAAGTAATCCTGACACCTGAGACCTTGCAAATCTCTACAACGCTGTTAAAAAATATTTATAAAGAGTGATAAGTACGATCAACTCCCTCATTAAGACACACAAATGAAAAGCCATATGCATTCAAAATTGTATGCACTTGATATACCCAATTTTTTTTTTAACATCATCAAACCGTTCCAACGTTTTATAGGATTTATACGGTAAACGATTGCTTTCCATTCTCGTGCTTTTCAACCAATACATGATCAGACGTTTTTGTGCCTTTACAATTTAATTATGAAAATCAGGCTAGTTCTCCTCTTACGGTATCATTACTTGCTCTATAACGCATACAAATTTACAAAACTCGGTATGCGTTTCATAAATACCTTTGATTTTCCTAAGAACTCGAAATCTCAGACCCATGCATTAAATTAGGAGCCACCACAGGATGAAAGAGATGACTAAGATCAAAATTGATGGATTCAAAATCAGATAGCATACCACATACTTTAAAAACAGCTTTCTTTCTTTGTGCAAACCAATATGTTGATGGAAGCTGACCAAACACCTCTAAAACTAAGTAGTTGTAATAAGGTGTGACCAACTTTTTCATACCATTTTTTCATTTTTCTTAACTATTCCACCTTTTTCTAAAAATCATAACTTTAGTCTTGTCAAGATTAACAGTCAACCCTCATTTATCACAGATGCATACCATGTGGGGAATCTGTGGTGTAAAATTGGGGAACCTGTGATGTAAAATAACATTTTCGCCAAACAACAAACAAAAATTATTAAAGCAATCCATAATTTATCTCCATCTACTTAATTAAATGCCTTACAGAAATCTACATAAGTAGCATACTTAATTTTGTCCTTTTGTCTTCCTAAAGTTTTGTCTAGACTATCAAATATTATGTGACAAAAAAATGTGATGTGCCCACATATGGGTACGATGATGTCATATCACATACTATCAAATTGTATCAAAAAAAGTTGAACATGTTCAACTCCTATTTTCCTTTACATTTTATGTGACGCTTTTTTGATGAAATTTGATAGTGGACAAAGCTCAAGATATTTATATAGCCTGTAAAGTTAAAAAATGATCAATAGTTGAATAAACCTCAGTTTCTAAATCTGCCTTGCATGTCAGGAATAATATTATGTCCATCGCACCACATGGTAGTAATGATTTTGAATAAAATTAAAAAGTTATTTATGGCTAATTAGCGTACCAGCCGCCACGAAGAAATGGAAATCTCAGAGAAAAAAATAATAGTCTTTCTTTAATTACGCCCTCCGCTGCCTTGAAATCTCCAAAGATAAGATATGTATAATTCTTCCTAATAAATTTAAAGCATCTAACCATACTAAACTGTTTACATTTACCAATAAAATTGGATTTTTATTTTCTCATTCATCTGGATTTTCTTGGCAAAAAAACCCAAAAAAAACTTCATTTTTTTTCTTCCACCCTCCCCTGATGATCGTTAGAGAAATAAGTTCGTGAAAACAAGGAATAAAAAGTCACGCCTAGTCTAGGCCTAGTTTGTAGTAGTAGTAGGACTACTAAGATAGGATATAGGGCACAGGTGGGCAAAGTGCGGCCCCCGGGCCGCATTAAGGTCTAGGCCTAATGACACCAATGATTTGTACAACTTCTGAATATAAATTTAATAAATATAAATATAAATTTCGATGGTGAATAACAATTACAATTACAGTTACTCCCATTTACAAATATCATTCGTAAATTTATAAATACAATTACAATATAATAATTTTACTATTTCATTTATTTTTGTATTTTATAAACATGATCACCAGAAAGCAGATGATACAAAGTTATTGGTTACATGATGTAGGTGAACACACGTAAAGTAGGTGAACTGCCAGCGTACGTGATTTGCATCTAAAAATAGCTTGTCATTCTGTTTTAGCATCAGACCTTATTCTGTCTTTACATTAATGTCCCCACATTTATACTAACAACAGTACCATGGGAACCTATTTGATTGTGGAAATGGTTTCTTTCCCTTGAAACAGATATAACGTATGTATTAATAAAGTATATATTTTACTATAATATGTATCAAAAATGGAAATAAAACGAAAGAAATCACAAACCCCTTGTGTCAGCTTCACCTCAAGAGTACCATGGGAATCTATTTGTGGAAAGTTTCTTTCCACAAATTATACTTCAGTTCTGTAACTAAAGAAAAAGGCCCAGCAAGTGAGTGATTTTCTCGGGCTTATGAATATAAAAGAAGCCTGAAACGGCTATTAAAATGTATGGCATGCAACTATAAATATACTGATAATTTGATATGGAAAATATGAATATGAAAATACTATATATTTCCTTTATAATATTATTATAAACATGATTAAAAAAATTTATGGTAAATGGAAATGTGACAAGAAAAAAATGTATTGCAAATTAATCTATACTATACTTATTCTCTATTTAATTTAAGCATTAATAGGCCTAAAACTGATATCAATATATATACTGCAACAAGCAATAAAAAATAATGTTTTTTCAAACTAAGTTGATTTTAGTAACATCTGCGTTTTGTTTCTGTAAAAAATATAAATATTGACACCAAGTGATACTGAAATAGTAACAATAATAAACTTTAATATACAAAAAATTATCTTAAATACTGTAACATTAGTTTAACTAATGTTACAGTAATTTAAATAATTTCGGGTAAAAATATACAAAATAAGATTGCTACTTCAGGAGGAAAGTTGACTGGTTCCCTGACAAACAGTTCAATATTTATAAATTATAATATCAAAACCTAATACTGTATTTAATATTGATTGAAATTTTTAGTATTTATTTTATTTTCTTTGAAATATGTTGTCAGTAGAAAGACAACAAAACAAAAATAAAAACGTATGGTAAACCGATTAACGAACTTATAGTAATAATAGGCCTATGGCCTAGTTATATTAAATTTTGTGTTTTTTTAACTCCATTGGCGCTCCATATATTTGTTGAAAATAAACCGCAACCAAATAATCTGTACTCGCCCGAGGCGGCCTATCCAAACATCAAACGAGCAACAACTCTACTCTATAGATTGAAAATAATCATGCTATAGTATTCTGTTACTGGTATTAATAATTACTAGGTCTACTCTATCTATTTGAGGCCGCCGCCTATTTACTAAATATTGTACTACTGTATTATTACCAGCACCAACAACGTGACTACCACTTTGCCGTAAGTGTTGTACTCAATGAACGGCTGGTACAAACTGTTTTGTGGCCCCGCCTACTTTGCGTATCAGGCCACTCGGATTTCTATCCAGTCCAAAAAAGTCCACATGTTACTCGAGCAAAATCGCATTCCTGCCCATTTCTGATTGGTCGGTTGTTAAGTTTGATTGACACAGTGGGGTAGGCCTATCTAAAAAAATTACGCGCGTCTCCCAGTCTCCCCTACCCCCAACAACAAATCACGGTCAAGTAGTTAAAAATCACGTAAAATCACCTTATTTTGAGAGTTGCACCCCTTAACTGATCATATCAAGCCCCTCCAACTTCACTTTCGATCCCCCATCAACACCCCCGATCATGTGGTGACTGGGACACGTTCTCCCCCCCCCCCACATATTTTTATGGGGGTTGGTCCCCGATTTTCTGGAGAAATGTAATTTCATAAGTCAAAAGATGCCTGAAAATTGTTGAAATGAACTGCATAAATGACGCATGTTTTAACGAAAGAGCCATGTAGGCCTACAGCCAGAATACCGTACATCTTCTTACAGCTAGCATAATACCGGGGTCTCTGCTCACAAATATTAAAAATCACCTAGGCCTATACACGGCTTTCGTGCCTTTATAACTTGAGAAGTATGAGGGAAAAAAAGCGTGAAAGATTGGTTTTGGCATATGAAGTAGGTAAAGTAATGTAAATACATCAAAGACAATTAAGTTTTATTTGCTATGGTTCATCAGAAGGATTAACATGCCAAAGATCATGAGAAATTTGTTGGCACTTCATTTAGATCTTGTATGGTGATGTGATGATGAATTTTACTATAAGAGTGTCATTTCCGGCCAGCTAGAGGTAGGCCCCAGAGGCGGATCCAGAGATGTCCAAAAGGGGGGGGCAATTAGTTAAACATAATATAATTAATTCTTTCATGTTTGTTAGGCAATTCATTCAAGATGACATCAATGTCACGCCGGGAGTTGGATGATATCAAACCATGGGTTGAAAAAACCGTGAAGCGTGTGCTAGGATTCCCGGAGCCTACGGTTGTCACAGCAGCTCTTAACTGTGTATCAAAGGGCTTCGACCAATCACAAACTACAGGTAAACATTTTCCCTGTGTATACTGTATACTAAAAAATAGTGCTGTAAACATTATCTTATTTTACCTTAAATTGGTTTTTTTAAATGTACATATTTAGATAATAGAAAAAACTAAATACAGTACTATATAAGTACTATATAATATATATAAAAATACATAATATATTTTTATAAGAATTATACATATGAAGATATTATTGTAAATTCATATTATTTGCTCTTTTCAGAAATGCTTCAACCTTTGCTTGAAAAATCCGCTCCCAAATTTGTGACATTGTTATTTGAAACAATGCAGGAAGTTGAAACATCAAGAAAGATGAATAAACCTCGCAAAAGAACATTTAAGGTGTGTAGATGTATTTTCAGCGTACTTATTTTAATTATTTTCTATCAGACTCAATACTATTAATAATGAATTATAGTACTCTACAGTACTGATCGAAGGCAGTGCACGTTTTTGGACATAAATATTATCAATTCTGTACATAAATAATACTCTTAGCGATCTAATTAATTTGTCTGGTAGGCTTATTATTTTCTTTTGAAGTGGATGATCATGCTGATGATCTAATACAAATTTACCTTATTAGGCCTATCTGAAATTGTAAGCTATGGGTTACAGTTATGAACCAAGAATGCTTTTATACAAAAACTCTATACATATCGCGTGCTTAGTCCAGAATTCGGGCTCTGCTGCCACCGCAGGTAGCTTTAAATTAGTAATATTGTTCTTTTCTAAATTCTTGACCGGGGGTACCGCAGACTGGCTTTGACTGCGTAGGAAGTTGGTGAATGTGGAACACGATGCCCACAGGCAAAAAGTGCACTGCCGTAATCAGTACTGTAATATAGTAATTTTGGTATAGGCCAGCGATGGGATCTGCTTAAAATGTAAGAAGAAAAACAAATTGCAATATCATTGCTATGACAATAATAATATTAATAATGATAAAAAATACTGATAATAAGGATAGTAATAGTAATAATAATCATTATTGATTGGTTGATTAATATTGATCATTATAGATTGGTATTGATTGGTATTGTATTGAATTGATCAATATTTATCAATATTAGTTGATTGAATAATATGTGATGATTAATTTGACTGGTTGAAAATATCAATGTTCATTAATATCAGCATTGAATATTATTAATTAAATAAACCATATTGATCAAAATATATTGTTTCATATATTCTTATCAGGAGGATGAATCAATGGAAGAGATTGTTAAGCCAAAGAAGTCAAAATTACCAGCTCATTTTTCTGATGAGTTAGAAGCTCCATTACCAGAACCTACCCCAAGCCCTGGCCAGTTAACTGCTGCTCAGATTAAAGAAATGATGGCACATGCACGAAAACAAATTACAGCAAGGAAAGAGCAGATAGATGCAATGGTCAGAATCAATATACATCAAGAGTATATTTTATATTATTTCACACTAGTATAACTAATATAACTAGTTTTTTATGTTGACTTTGCTGAATTGTAGATTAGCCCCAGAAAGTATTACTATTCTGATGGTGTTTACATCAGGTAGGGCAAAACATCATTCCTATTAATCTCCTCAAGCAATTTTTCATAAATATGGAATTACATCTATCATTCATATTAATGTAAAACGCAATTAATTAAATTTTGCAATGCTATAATGACTCTTAAAGGAGAAGTTTACCAGGACTGATTTACCAAATTCAGGTACATAATATCCCATTTTCCAAATTACGAATCTGGTGCATGTTCATTACGTAGACGCTCAAAACTATATTTGCGATGACGTACCAAGTGTATTTCTCCATCAAAGTTTAGCGATAACGCCATTGTAATGCATAGAATTTGGATGGAACTCGTCTTCTACCACCTAATTCACTTTGTGACATTATTTTCCGATAAAAATATCAATGTGTTAGTTGTTTCTGAAACCTATTTTTTGTATCAATGAACATAGGGCATGATGCGGAAGTCATCAATAGCCCCAGTAATTCCATTGAACCAAAGTCAACAACTAGCAAAGGAGGCTCTAGAGAAGGCTAAGAGAGCTGCAGAAATCCAGGCCAGAATCCAGTCCCAGATGGCAAGCACAGGCCTAGGAATCAAACATTTGTCCAAGTATGTATGATTTATACTTGATTTGAAAGCAATTATGTCAACTGTGATATAATACCAAGCATACTTAGCTCATTCGGCTATGCTTCCGTTCATTTGTAAATCTTTTTATGTTATTATCTCCAATGAAAAGGGTGCTGTAAATGATCTATTCTAGATGAATTATCATGATTTTTTAAAGGGAATTAAACTTAAATCATTAGCCTTCTATTTTCTTTGTGTATATCCATTATTATTTGTATTTGATACTTTTCCACCAATCAGACCCACACCATTGATTCTTGATGACCAAGGGCGGACAGTTGATGCTAGTGGCAATGCTATACAGCTAACACAGAGAATGCCAACACTGAAGGTAACATTTATTTTTTTCCTAGTAATTAATTGTAATTTTTCTGACAAATAACTCATTGTAACCGTTATTCAAATGCCCTTTGTACTACTGAATGGATGGATTTAATTGGTGTAAACACAAAGGGTAACCCACGATAGGCTGAAGAAGACATTTCCACTGTGGTCCTTCTGGTGTTGACTGGGCAGTACACCAGGAGACAATCCCCTGCTCTTTTCTGAAGAGTGTACGGCGTCCTTTAACGTGCACGTGGGCCAAAATGCAGGACCAACATCTTAAACATCTCATCCGAAAGATGATGTGCTATCGTACATGGAGAGCAATGATGGAGTATTGAACCGAAAACGAAGAGATCTTTACAGTTCAGTGCACACACAGTGGCTACCACCAGTTTAGTCAACTGAGCTAAGCTGCTCTCTTACTTATTATGGTGAATTATGTTATTTTTTTCCACTCTGTTCTGTTAGTATTTTGATCCTTCTTTTCAGGCTAATATTCGAGCCAAGAAAAGGGAGGAATTTAAGGCAGTGCAGGATAAACCGGACACACAACTTGATGAGACGCACAAATTCTTTGATCATCGCGTTAGCCTACAACCCGCATTAAGACCCAAGAAAGCATTTAAATTCCATGAAAAAGGCAAATATCAATTGATTGCACAAAGGGTTAGAGCCAAGGTAAGATTAACTGTTAATTACATTATTATATTATCATTACTAGTTTGTCAGATAAAACAGTTTTAGTACTTTTATAGTGCTTTCAGAGAAATAAGCAAAAAGCTTTTGTCAATATTTGTCTCTTAATCATTGTATAAATAAATCAAATGTGTCGTATCTAGTTCCTTAAGCCTGATATTAAAATATATTTATTTTTAGTGTATATTGCTGATTTTTACTGTGATGAATTTTAATTAATTTGTATTTTTTTTGTGTCATTGATCAATTTATTTTACTATAAATTTTGAAAGTCATCACTTATAGCTATAAGTATGTATCCATGTTTATTTGCATACAGGCCCAACTTGAGAAACTTCAAAGTGAGATTGCCCAAGCTGCTAAAAAGACAGGGATCTCATCAGCTGCAAGATTGGCACTCATCCAACCAAAGAAAGTCTTGGTGAGTTATATAATTATTATTTAAGAAAATGGTACAACCAGACAAAATTATAACAGTGATACTAACTAAATGTAAATTATGGGCAATCTATGGCATACTTAAAATGTGTTTTCCATCAGTGTCAATGCAAAGTTTTTACATTAAATATATATCATAAAAGCAGAACGTTTTTTACTTGCCTGGAGAAAGTGCTTAGAGGAGAATCTGTGATTCACAAGACACTATATAAATATGGTCTTATTATTATTCATGTAGATTTTTTCAATGCTTGAGGATTCAAATTACATACGGAACCTATAAAACATTGATTTATTTTAAAATTTTATATTTGTAGCACCATGAACCCATTTAATTTCATTCAATTATAGTGACATTAAAATACAATATGTAAGAAAAACCAAAATTGAAATGCTGGACAGGGGTAGCTTAATAAGCAAAGTACATTGCTATAACTCAGATGAGCCAGCTACCCTATGGGTAATGGTGGTTCTAAATGATGATGATAATTTATATCAAGTGGATGAATTCTTGTAATTGGAAATATACTTGTTCAGGGAAACTGATTATTTCCCTGCCAGCACTACTGAAGGAGGTGTTTTTACATGATCATTCTAATTCAATTGCATGCTTGAATGATTATGTGACAAGTGGATCTGTGTGAATACATCAGTTTCCCTGAAGAAGTTGCTGAGACAGTAATGAAAGCTAGGAAGTACAGTAAGATAAATATTTTATTTCAAATAATTACAAGAATTCATCCACTTGATATTATGAGCATTGGAATAGTACAAAATATTTTTGACATAATAATAATTGTTTTTGATTGTTGATATATTCTCCATTTAGAGGCAATGTGAATAAAATGAATAATAATGAAAGGGTGAATGGCTACTTAAATGATTGTTATTGTTGTAAATAAAACACTTTTTTTAAATGTGAGATGAATCTTCCAGCTCTAACAAGCTGATACTGTAATTGGAGTCCTTGATTATATTGCATTAGAACTAAGTACCATGAGAAATATTAATATTAACAGGTGAACTGAAATTCTTCATTTTGTTTACAGAGAGAAGATGAAATACCAGATGTGGAGTGGTGGGATTCTGTGATCTTGCATGTAGATTCTTACAATGGGTTACAAAACAAGGATAAACGTGAATGTATTGTTGGCATTACACATCTTGTTGAGCATCCAATTCAATTGAAGCCACCAGGTAGTACAAGCATAATACAATACATAGTATTATTTATTATAAAGCTACTCAATTTGATAAAATTTTATTTTGACAACAAATTTATTTATAAATGCTGAATAGAAAATATTTTTTACTTTGCCTATCTATATCTATATTTTTTTTTCATTTCATTTTTTTTACAGGTGATAAAGATGCAGCAGTGGAAGTGCCAATCTTTCTGACTAAGAAGGAAAGGAAAAAAATCCGTAGACAGTCAAGAAGGGAAGCTGATTTAGAAAAACAAGAGAAAGTAAGGTTAGGTCTAGAACCACCTCCAGAACCAAAAGGTAAGCAGTCACATACACAAGACTACCACTCAGAGGCTTCTTGCATGTTATCATTGATCAGTGTTAAAGAGATTTTAAAGACAGAAACATACAAGAGATAGTGTTTGTAAGGATAAAGACATACATGTAATTGGTCTACACAAATGTTTTTTGTTTTTTTTGTAAATGTTACAAAGAGCCATATTAGAATTTATTGAAACAGAAAAGAAAAATGAACATTTAGTATTCTGAAAATTGGTTGAATTTGTGATACTTACAAAGATATCGATATACGCTAGTTGCAGGGTCATACCATATGTGGCAAAGAAAAGCCAAACCAGACACTCCTCGTCTAAAGTTTATTTTTAGTTATTTAAATATAGGGTTAAACAGTAAAATGAATGGGTATAAAGTATTAAAATAATTATTTATATCCAACATTTCATTATGGAGTTACAGGATGTTAAAGGTACAGCTGTTTAGAGAACAATATTTGAGAAATCAGCCTTTAAAGTTTACGATTTCGGACATTTCTCAGGCAGAGACCATCACCAGGTTGTTAAAAAATGTGGTTTTTAACATTAAAAATGGGGAAAATAACAACATACCTTTATGTGAAAAGTTTATTTTAGTGCAACATTCCCACATATTTTGGCCATTATCTCTGAAACACAATTTGCAGGGAGTGACTGGCTTGGCTTGTCTTATGAATGGTCTGTGTCGGATGTTTACATTATTTTTTAGGTAAGCTTGCCAAATAAGAAACTGGCGTGGGGTTTTCTAATTATGTATCTCGCTCATAGATTATCAACATCACTGCTCATTTTTAATGATGTTAATAATGGCTACATGCACCTTTGTGTTGCAGTGCGAATGGCAAACTTGATGAGAGTATTGGGAAATGAAGCCGTCCAGGATCCGACAAAGGTCGAAGCTCATGTCAGGGCTCAGATGGCTAAGAGACAAAGGTAACACAATTAACTATATTTTACGTACATCTATTATTCTGAACCATCCACAACATATTCTGATTTCCCAAATAATTTATTGTCCTTCAGTCTGATTTGAAATCTCTTGAAAAGTGGAGTGTTACTGATGTACAACACAAGCAAAAGTAAAAAAAATGTCTGTTTCCACTTCTAGACAAACGATTGTCTTTAATTACATGTTATGTACTAACGTGTTAATTTTACAAAATTTATGGATGATTAATTTAAATTTAATACTAATATTAACAGTATTAGTTGCTAAGGCTATAACAAAAAGCTTGGATTTATACATTGGCATTGTTATAAGACAGTATATATACAGTATGAATATATTTTCATATGAAATTATTTAGTAATTGAAACATTTGTTGACATTGTTTGAATGGTGGTTTTTTATTTTTTTTTCCCAGGCTACATGAGGAAGCAAATGCTGCACGAAAATTGACGGATGAACAGAAACGAGAAAAGAAAATGAACAAGATTCGGGAAGATACGTCAAATGGAGTTAACGTTTCTGTTTACAGAGTGCGTGAACTTAACTGTCCATCTCACAAATTCAAAGTTGAAGCTAATTGCAAGCAGTTGTTGATGACTGGTTTAGTGGTTATGTTCAAGGATGCTAATGTAGTCGTAGTTGAAGGCGGTAAGATTCGTCGCAATTTAAAAGTACAGTTTGGTTCCTACCACTGATGCTAGTCACATTCAGGAGCCAGACTTCTCTAGCATTCAAATATTTAACTGTTGGAAGGAGATCACACATGCAAGAATGTGCAATTAAACAACCCTTAAAATAGCCCTCTAAAATTTCTATTTTCCACTGTAGTAGAAAAATGCTTTAGATTGGGCAACAAATAAAATAAGTTTTACTTTCTTAAATGTTTTAGGTCCAAAACAACAAAAGAAGTTCAAAAGACTTATGATGAACAGAATTAAATGGGATCAAGATAAACGAAGAAAAAGTAAGTATTATTTGAGCATGGTCTTAATTTGTTGTCGGTAATCGGAATGTTTTTGATTTGAATCCAATTTGTGACGTTTTTTTTTCAAATATTTATTTGAGTGTTGCCATTCAGCTTCTCAGCTTGGTTGGAGTTCAATACCTTGCTGTGGATTTTTGCTTGAGGCTTTGTGAAAGGCAATTGCCTATAGTTGTCTCTCCCCACCCAAGAGCACAAATTAGTTCCTGATAGTGTCAAACATTATTCTGTTGATTACTATCTGCATCATTAGGTAATTCTGTCCAGCTAACTGAGAATGGTTTTGATCTAATGACCGATCAAATAAATCTGAAGTTCTTACAAGCTTTGTTGGCTGAAAGTGCTGTATAACATGTTATTACATATTATTGTCATCTTTAGTTATCATCAGTGGATTTGTTTCTCCATGCCAAAGTTACTGTCTTGAATAACCTATCTATCCAATTTTATTTTCAATACTTGTAGTGACACCCTTAGTTACACAATGAAACACAAGTATAATCATGTGTTATAATGCATGTACTACTGTTCACAAACTGAAAAGCCAATATTCTCTATTATTACTTCACAAACTAATGTAATTGATCATAAAATAAATCATAAGCTCATAGATTTAGTAAATCGAATTAGTGAATTAATTACACTGAGTGCGGCACGTTCAAACTTTGTTGCCATATCTCATTACTAAAGAAATAAAATAATTATTTTCAGATGTACACGATGACGATTCCGATGAGGAAGAACAGAGGAAGGTAAACAAGTGCTTATTGGTATGGGAAGGGACAACGATGGAGCGTTCATTTGGAGACATCAAGTTCAAACAATGCCCTACGGAGTCAATGGCGCGGGAAGTGTTTAAGAAACATGGTGTGGAACACTATTGGGATTTGGCTCACAGCGAAGCTGTAATTGAGGCGTCCCAAGATTTGTAATTAGATTCAGTTCCAATGCGAATGATTATTCTTGCGTTTTAAGTTTGGTAAATTCCAGGTATTTTGAAATATCCCAACGGTAAGGATCCATTATACATTTGACTACATTACAATGTTTTGTTATATTCTTCTTGTTATTTTTTCAAACTTCCAATAATGTAAGGAATTAGGAGAAGTAATGTAAAAAAATAATATTAGATAAAGGTATATGAAGATGAAATGGTGTAGGTTTGTACTGTAAATTCATGCGTATAAGACGATACATGTAGTCAACTCCCAAGTTTGAATACAGATTCCTGGAGTGTCAGTCATACATAACATCTGGCCTATCAGAACATGTAATTCAATTTGTGGGACCAGTAATAATGTGCATGTCCAACACACAAGTTTACATTCAGGATTTCACTTTGTGGGACCTTAGCAAAAATATCCAAGAGGTAGGGCTTAACAAATAGTCCATGCCGAATAATTTGTTTGTACTATTACTCTCTGCCCTCCCCTCCCCTCCCCCTCCCCCCACAACTTTCTACTGTTCTAAACATATCAGGCTATGATGCACAATTGTTACTAGACTACTGGTTTACAATGGAAGAAAATGTTATTAGCCCAGAGTGTAATTTTGGTGGACTTCATAGCCTTGATTAATATTAAATCTTGCCCTGACACATAAGATGACTTTTGACTTAGAACATGCAAATTCAGCTGTCTTCTTATACATGGGAATTTACAACATGTACAGACATGGTAAGATTCTCCTACCTACCCACAACTTTACCAATGTAATGTGATATGGGTTGGAGTTTTTTCTTCTTGTCGCAGGTACATTACTGTTGTGTTTGCAACAAGACCAGTGTGTCATAATGATTGACGTCAGGTGAGCCCAACATCGCCAGCAAGTACGTATAGTCATTCAATCAATATATAAAGTATGTATACCAAATATATGTACAATGTCACTGGTTTTGTATGTATAGAAACCTTTTGAAGAAAAGGTGGTGTGATAAGAAATAAATGCATCCAAACTGTTAATTTTATTTCCTGTTATGTATTACTTTTAAGAATTGTGATTATTTTATGTAAATTTTCTTGAGCCACACATATTTTGGTGTGTTTTTAAAAAGTTGTTACATTGTCAAAGTGCGTTGTTACAATGTGTTAAACGTGCATGTAGCTAAGATTTTTTAGTTTTTTAAATAAATAACATTGAAAAGTTGAACTTTCATATGTTTGAATTCTGTTATTGTGGATTTTTGGAAATTGTCATTTTTTATCAAATTAATTTATATGGCCAATAAATCTTTTTCAAAATCAGTAGAAATTTAATTTGTTTCTGTTAGCAAACAAAAGGTATTAAGTTGAATATACTGCTAATAGGCACTTTTTGCAGCCTGTAGTTACCTTGGAAAATGTAGTAACAAAACCCTCCTTTAGACAGTAACTTCTCATTTCCAAACTCCTGTTGTTGCCGTTTCTTTTTTTTCATTGAAGTGTAATAGAAAATATTGACAATTTAATGTACAAAGATCAAAAAGTCCTTAAATTTCCATGTCATGTGTACATTCAAAAAATTAACAGGCACTTTTTCTCCTCCCCTCTTCACAAATGCTAATCCACTTGATTCTATAGGGAATTAATTTGGTGTCAAATTTACTCTGAACAATTTCAGTTCATCATATGAAAGTACAACTTTAGCTAAGCCTTGTTCAGACACACCAAATCTGTTGTATTTTGTTGTGTTTTCATAGACTTGCTGGCCAGTGAACGGCTACAAGAGGTCATTATTAAAGGTAATGTATTTTATGAATAATAATTACATGATGTCTCAAAGGAAAGTTCCAGAGTTAAATGTTAATTTGAATACATTTATTCCTAACATCTTTGTTAGGAAATAAAATGCTGTATTATTTGGCATATTGCAAATTTTTATTATATTCCCTACTTCAGTTTTCAAAAACAAATGTGAGCCTTCAAAGATTAGTAATTTAACACTCTGTAATTTAAGTATTAGTATCACTTTTGATTGACTTATGCCAATGCTGGTTTTTCACTACCGAGTTCAGGGTACCAATAAGTACGTAATTAAACGTACTACATATTTTTATTAAATATTTTATCTCTAGAACTCTCCTTTAATATAGTATAAACATGCATGAATAAACGAATACAAGAAAAATACAAAACAAAAAAATTTAATTGCTATTTTAATGCTTCTCTGGCAATGTTTAATTTGAAAATAAAGCAAGTACTTAGTTGGGCAGTTAAAGATATACTATCAATCAAAAGATAATACCTCAAGAATTCATATAAAATTTTGAATAACTTGTTTAAAAGGATTAAATAAATTATTAGCTTCCACCAAGAAACAGATCGAAAAAGATTTACAGACATTTTAGTACAAAATCCTTCCATTGATTACCTGCCAATTATGATTTTTGTACTAAAATGTCTGTAAATCAGGGAAAACTGGTTTTTTTTTTACCTGTTTCTTGGTGGAAGTTTATAATATATTTGATTCTTTTAAATGAGCTCTCCAAATTTCTTTTTTTAATTTCTGAAGTATTTTCTTGTATTTTGACTGTTAGTACATCTTACTAAATACTAAATGTTATCTTGCCATCTAGTCAGGGATTAACATTATATTCTTCATTTATACATTGTATCTTCAGTCTGTTAAATAATGTTCTGAAAACCAAACTGTATCTAAGCATGGAGGTATAAATCTAAGCTACTGTATCAAGCTATGAGAATAGTATAGTGGCAACAGTGGCAGCACCAGTGGGGTGTCCAGGGGTCAAAGTGTCCTTGTCAGTAAAGAAGCCAATCATTAATATGTTGGGTAATACTGCCTTGATAAGCATTAACACAAGATGCCAAGGAGCATTTGTGTATTTCTGCCTTCAAAATGGCCTCCGAGTCATTAAGTGCCACCATTATCTAGCAAAGTCATATAATGGTGGTATTGTTCAATATGTGCTTAATCCTATTAGAATGTTACTGTCATGAATTTACAACAGCAATTGATGAAGTAAAATATTTCCTGGAAAAGCTTTTATTCATGTTTAGCACTCAAGTATTTGAACAATTAGTTAATAACACAAAGGAGACTTATAATTCCAATATTGTATGAGAAAGAGTAACAGGGAACTTAGAGTTTGAAATTCAGTTTAGCTTAAGGCTGGTAATTACTGTACAAAACTTCTCTATTCATTCAAATTTCCTTAAAAGAAATAAAAATAAATGTATAATATCAATTTGGCTGAATTGAACAATATTGTGTGTACGCATTTGTGTGAGACAGATATGTAGATTGTATGAAATATTCAAGATTTTTTTAACTTCAACAACCCATGTTATGGCAGGGGTTCCATTTGTCCCAGAAGTCATAGGAGTCTCTGGAAATTGGTAGGGCGTCCCGCACTCCAGCGAGCAAGCAAGAATCTCCCGGAAAGTAACTCATCTCCTGCAAATTCACGATATTTTCATGTTTTTACCAATTGTCTCCTATATGTCAGTGCCAATGGGTATAACCATCGACAGCAGAATATTGTTAGGTTTTAAGAAAGCTCATTTAAACAAATCTCCTGGATGTGGATTCTTCCAACTTGGGACGCTGGTTATGGTGGCTATGAACACATAACGGATTACAAGATATGTTAACTGCAGACATCTGTTAATTAACAAGGAAAATCTTTTCTTGTTTTAATTTATATTGAAAGCTAATAGCATACTGTATTTAAATACAGAAAATAAGCACCTTTATTTTTCAAGAATATGTAATGAATGTATAGTACAGTTTGTTACTTGCTCTCCATTCTAGTTACATAATTTAGTATTGACTGTAATGATGTTTATAATCTTTTATAATCAACAAAACACAGTTTGCATTGAAATAGTTATATTTTAATAGCCACTGTATAAATTTATAATAGATTATTAAGCCAAAAATTTATCTTTTGATGCTATCCATAAGCTTTCACTCTGTTATTCGATGTTCACACAAGACTGTTGTTAAGGTACTGCACAAACATATTTGGTATCACATCTGTGTTCTCTACTGGATGCTGCTTGGTATACGATACAAACTGTTGCCGCCATCTTCTTAGTTCTGATGCCGTAACATGTCTCACCAATTTAATGTAAACAAATTTGTTAAGGTTAACACACGATATACAACTTACCACATTGATTGAATCAGTTTTCGGCAAGAGTGTCAGCTTGAGCTGAAAATAAGTTTGAGTTCATCTCTTTAAACAAGAAGCCCTTATTAATTAAAAGGCTAGAAAAAAATATAGAAAATCAATAGGCTCTTGACATACCATAGATTGAAGTTCTTTGGTGTGAAACACATCAAGGAAAAACCATGAATGTCTCAACAACTTCAGGTGGGAAATTAGGCAGTAGACTGGCAGAAAATGTAGAGTACTGTGTTACATAAACAAAGACATACACATGGGCTGTAATTCACTCAGGACCAACTGCCTAAACCTCTCATCCAAAAGATGATGTGCTATTGAAACTTGCATTTCATCCCTTCAGCTGGAACACAAGAAGAGCAGCAGATGGAATGCAACCAGGGATTATTAAAGATTCAAGAACTTTCAGGGGTAGATCCAGAGATGTCCAAAAGGGAGGGGCCAAAAGGGGGGGCCTTAAGTTAGGCTGATCGACACAACACTCTCCTAGGGGGTCCTATTTTTGTGTTCTAGACGCCTGAAAATAACATTTGAGGCGTTCTGGGCTTATATTTTTTTTCCTTTTCTTTCTTTTTTTTTTTAACCTCCCAAAAGGGGGGCTGGGGCCGGGCCAGCCTCTCCCTAAATCCGCCCCTGACTTTAATTGGCCTATAAGCTCCATTGTTCATGCACACAGGGTAGGTATTACCAGCTTAGCCAACTGAGTTTAACTTGATAAGCTGCTCGAATAAAATGTTTTCATGAAGGTTGTACTCAAAAATCTAAAAAAAGAGAAAAAAAAACATACTGTAGTTGCCTGCGAAATTAAGCATCCCTGGCTGAGTAAAAATTTCAAACTGAGAAAGCATCCCTAGCTGAAAACCTATACTGTAATTGATCACCTGTTACCTGACTTATAAAGGATATCTTTTCTGTTGCTTTTGGTAAGCTGACTTCGTCACCGGGTAGACTCATTTTTTGAGCATTCAAGACAGCCTTAAAAACAAAATGTCAATTGTGAATATGTTTTGCATATAGTGTATACATTGTTAGAACTACCACATTCTGAAAATTATTAAATCTATTTGCTTATACTGAATGAGCCATCAAAACATACACTGGACACATTCGAAATTATAGAGACATGAATGAATTGGTTGGATGTACAGAAAAAAGGCATGTGACATACCATTACGATATCTTGAGTTATTTTGTCCAATTCATGCAAGAAGCTGGTTGATGAGAGAGGTTGCTGTAAAGAAATCGTGCACACATTTTTAAAGATACTGCACTAAATCGAAAAATTTAAATTTCAATCAGTCTGTTCATGAATACATTCTGTGAAAAGCTCAGCAGTGTGCGCTGTAGTTGCATGCGATCAGGAAGATTTAACAGAGGCGTGCTGTTCGCATTGAACTTTTATGCTCAGGGAAAATCAGCTGGTTATTCTCCCTGGTTAGCGTTAACTTGGGTAGTTTTAAGTCGTATAATATTACACTACATGTAATCTGGAGACACCTCTAAGACATGAAAATAAATAGTTTTTCAAGAGGAACATTGCCCCATCTGGTTTTAAAACCCAAAAACTTTGATACATTTATAGAAAGTAAAACTATGGAAAAAAAATATGCAGAAGTGTCCTCCCAAATTGTTTACTTCATCATCTCAAAACCCAGGTCCGCCATGTTTATTATACAGCCATTCTGATAGATTGTGTAAGCTTAGATTGTAACTTACAGATACAGTGGACATATTGGGAGGAGGTGCTTTCCGTAAATACACAGCATCATAAATTTGTTGGCATGGCAACTCATCGTCTGGAAGTACAGTAAACAATGGTGAGTCCCATCGATTTCTAGAATCTGGTGCTTCAAATCTCATCACCAAACCATCAAAGCTAAATTCAAAACAAGTAAGCGTTGTACAGTAGTTAGACACAAATTAGATATTTTGTCCAGACTATTTATTTGGAAAAAAAAAACTGTTGTATGCCCATACAGTATATAGTAATGATATGCCTATATATGGTCATGATGTGATGTAACCATTTAGGCATTTATACCGATTAACAGCCAAAAGGTCTATGCAACAAAAATAGGAATGTTATTTAAGCATCTGTTTTAGCATGGAAAAATTAGGGGTTTTTTTTCATTCTAAATTCAAAATGAAATATTAATAACTTATTTAAACATACAGATATGATTACATATAATTTTTGTTCAAACCTCACATTTCATTTGTGTATCGCTCTTGTTCTGATCTTGATGCATTCCACTGCTTAGCAGTTTCAGGACTGACTGCACAGTGAATCTGCAAAAATAAGCTAATCAAGTTATTTGCACATATACTGTACAATTGTTCAATTCAAGTTACATTGGCTACCACAAGGGATGTGGGTACTGGGAAAATTTGCTACTATGGCCAGCCAAGACCTCATTGAACTACTTGGCCAGTTATGGGGAGCCCAAACTGTTTAATATGGATTTCTTATATAAAGCCAAACTTACCTAGAAGTTGGTCCCAAGAGGCAGCTTTTATCCCCCCCACCCCCTCCACACCCCACAGTTTGCAACAATAATGATTTGAAAATCTGTGAGTAGGATGATCAGGTGTCCTGATTCCATCGTGACCAGATAACAAAACAAGGATAAATCTACATTTACACTAGACACGGTAACGACACGACAGCAACATATCGCATCGTTTATATCTTTAACACTGAGCACATTTTTATTGTGTCTAGTGTAAATGTAACTTGAAACAAAAATATTTATCAAATTTTGATACAAAGTACTGTACAGTACATGGGAATCTTGGAAAATAGACCCCCCTCCCCCACATATTGTTACTGTTATGGCTCTATTTGAAATTTTTTTAAAATATAGACAACTTACAATACAGTGAGGTGTTTGAGCTGACTTGGCTACACAAAATAATTCATATCGAAAACCTGAAATATCAATGAGAGGGAGATAATTTATAGTATTTAGCTCTGGTGTGCCAAGATACAGTACTCTGATTAATAAACCCAGTGTGTACAGGATTTTATAGAACATTGTACTTTGCTGCAGTGACATATCTTAGTGGAGATTGTGTGAGGGAACCTCCTCTCAGAAGAAAATCATTTTCCCAACCCCAATGTCACAGTAAAGTGTACTGAAAAATGTGAATGGAACTGAATCCTTATTTCAATGAAAACTTAATAATTAATGCTCATTTTTAGAATTTTAACCCATTTAGTGGAACTAATTTGTTGTGAGATGGGGGGTGGGGGGTGGTGTAAGGTTGCACCTTCTAGCATATGCGGCATACATGTACATTAGTTAATTAAGAAACATATACCTCATTCCCCAAATCTTATAAAAAAAATAAATAAATAAATAAAATTGACCGAATGCATAAAAACCAAGATGAATTTAAACAGAAGCAAGTACTAGGAAATTGTTACAAAAGCCAACATGAAGCAGGCTGTATAGTCTTTCTTAGCAACAACACAGATCCAGGGTAGGGGGCAGGGGCCTCTGTCATGGGAGCTGCTCTCACTCCCTGTTGGGGAGAAAAACCACACTTCGTTGGGGAGAAAATAAAAATGTATTTTCTACTTATTATTTGACTCAAAATCTATTAAATAAGCCTTTGAAGGCCTTAAATTGTCATATTTTCCTGGACTACTTTTGAGAAATTTTGAGTGATGCCGAACCACGCCTACTTTGTCCTTGTGAGGTCATCATCCCCCTCATCCTTTTTTGTATTACTGCACATGCACAGGTCCATGGAAGTAATAAATTATTTTTTTCTTTCATACCAACTAACAGAGATAAAAACCTCCAATCAAATAAATAGATTTAAAAAAATATATATATATAGAAGTAAAAAAAAATAAAAATAGATAAACATAAACAAATAAAATTATAAATATCAGATATTATTCTCCTGAAGATGATTGAAGCATCTTTATCGAAACGTCAAGACTTTCTCAACTACAACAGTTCTTTTCAGAACTACTTACGTGGTGTACCCGCAAGCTTCAACATATATAAAATTATATCATTATATTAGAAAATAAAACTCAAAAAACATTTAGTACTTTAAAGACTAGTTTGTGTGACAGTACACTAGCTTTCGTGCACACAGTGTGGATAGAAAAAGTAAGCTACTTTATTCAAGCATTAAAATGAGACAAAGGGGCTAAGGCATATGAAATAAACAGTGTAAAATAAAAAATATAAATAACAAGATAGGTCAGAGGTCAGAAATGTAGTAACAATGTTAGTGAATCAGACTATAATTAAAATGGTCAACAATTATAGAATTAAAAATAATTATAAAATAATAAAAATTTAAAAAATCACCAAATGAATTCTTGCAAAAAAAATTTGTAAGAAAAGCAAAAATAAATTCTGGGCACTGACTGACTGAGAAAAAAAAAGTGCGCCCAATGTGGGGCTCGAACCCACGACCCTGAGATTAAGAGTCTCATGCTCTACCGACTGAGCTAACCGGGCTGATGGAAACACTCGAGACCTGCAAGTTATAAGTAGAAATTACCGCATTCGTAAGCGCAGCAATCTTTTAGGTGTGGCCAGGTAGGCTAGGCCTAGGCTGAAAAATTGGTAGCGTGTAATATTTTGTACAGTATTGGCTGTTAAACCCTTCACTCTGCTCCATGCAACTGTGTCCATTACAAAATTTTGTTTTGTCCAGTCGCATAATGGAACAACTCGAAGCCAAAATGTGTTCCCTCCTGGGCAGTGAGTGGAGCTCCAGCAGTGCATTGGATGGAGGAGCCTAGGCCTCTCTAGGCCTAGCCTACAATTCAATTCCCAATATCCATTATATTTTGTAAATACCATAATTGATATTTTTTTAATCTACGGACTTGCAAATAACTTTAAAAATTATAAAATAATAATGATGTAGGCTCTGAAAATCATCGGATCGTTTCGCAATCCGCCTGACCCGGCCCTCTGAATGAAGAATCCTGATGATGATTCATGAAAGGTCGTTTGTATATGGAGCGCCATTAGGCTCATTCTTGTAATAAACATTTCCATGGATTTCACCAAAGATATAATGTAACTGTGGTCTTTGATTTTACGTTGTTTTACAACCTTGGAGAAAACATACAGTATCGTGTTAGTTCTATCCATGGTATACAGTGTTTTTGTTTTTTATCTATGTACTAGAATATTTAAGCAACGATGACAAAACCTCAACAAAGAGAATTTTAAATTATTAATTATTTTTATAATACCTTTTATGTAGTTCAAAGAATCAACAATTACAACATCCTCTTTTGAGATGACTCTGAAACAGAAAAAAATATTTTAACTTTAAAAATATGACAAATCAGATAGCTTTCTTATTGAAAATTTTCAATATTGAAATCTTGTCAGAGAGAGCTACAGTGCCATACAGGTGTGTAGCCTGCCTTATCATGTTTGTTGTGTGCAGTATGATATTCATAAAAATGTTTAACTCACCTTTGAACCCCAGACTTAAGAGACCCACGTACATCTTTTTCATTTTTTGAATCTATCAATATGAAAATACAAGTTATATATTTTTTATGGAGCACCATAGGAACAGTGGCAGCGCCAGCGGGGTAGGCCCCACACTCACTCCACCCCCGACCAGATCTCGTGGGGCAGTTGGACCAAATGCGAAAAAAAAAACTTACACCAAGCCAACACATCTGTCAAAGACAGTCTGGGGGTTTTGGGCCATCCAGAGTTCCCTATTTTTTTTTTTTTTAATCTCATTTGGGAGGGGGAACAGCTTAGCACCCCACTCCCCAGCAAATGTATTTAATCAGTCGCCACTGCTTAAGAACCAAAGTTTCTGACTCACCAATTGTACAAACAAGCTATATAAAGCATTTTTTTTTCAAAAATGTTTATTTTCAAAAAGTAAAACATCAAACCAGATACTGTACAACTCCCTGATCAAATAACATATTGTACATCCATTATGTCGTCAGATATTTCAAATTGCCCTTCTAGCGTTCCATAAGGACAGGAGTGACTCACCATTATACACTTGATTTCTGTCTATTCCATGATCTCCGACAATAATTACTTGCTTGCTGTGCTTTTCTTCAAAGTAGCATTTGGCATCCTTGGATCGTTTACTTTTACCACTACTAGGAAATCCACATATAATTATTAACGGCATTTAATTACCTAGAATCTACAGAATATTCAGGCCAACGATATGGGCCTAGGCATAGGCGTATTTTACTGTTAATCACAGGGGTTGGGGCATATCGGGAGAAGTACCGCCAGGTTTGCATGTAAGAGACAGTATGGTGCGCCAATGGTGCCGTTATTATTAGGTTAAAATAAATAAAATAGGGTGCAATTGAAAATAAATGTGAGGGCAACCGAAAATCTATGACCTGGCTTGCCAGGCAATGAAATATTTCAAAATTCTGCGAGCCCTAAGTAGATAGATATAACTTAATGGATAGATGAAGTTATAATATTTATTAAAACATATTTTCACAAATCAAATCAAATGACGTCATAAGAAAACGATAAAGTCGTTTTTACTTGTACGATTTTGTCGTTTTACGATGATTAGGCTATGACGTCATTTGGTTGGTTTGTGAAAGTTTTTTTTTTTCCGTACACGATAAATCGTTATCGAATCGTGCTAGTGTGAAAACATTTTTTTTTAAATTATTTTGTATATGAAAAATAATTGCTTTCTTTTCTGCTTTGATTGATCCGGACTCGATGATGGCCATAAATAATGAGCTCTGCTCAGCTTATAAGTCAGTTGAATACATATGAATTTGGAACATTCAATGGACCTTTTCAGAGTGTCAGTTTGTTGCTGCACGCCGCTATCCATTTTTATGAATTTAGGAAATCAATTCAGGCTTTGTGCACCCTGATCATCTTACACATTACTAAATATTTTGAGTTTTGCTTATGATTTTTGTGTGGGACGGTTTGGTTAATCGTGCATCCTTCTGATGACAATGCATTTCCACTTTTGCAACTCCCAGGCAAATAAATGGTTTCCATGCCGAAAATAAATACCTGTACAAAATAAATATAACTGTAGTCTACTACAGTAAACTAATGGTCTCAAAAAGTATAAAACTGCAAGAGGTCCGACTGCCGGGGATTTTTTGGAACGCAATCTTTTACATACCTCCATATTTTAATATTGGTATTTAGCGATCTCATAATGTGCAAGGTCTGTGTTTTGTAGTGTCACCTAGTGGGTATTGCTAATTTTATCCCAGTTATATTTTTAGAGATAACATTACATAGTAGCATTAAAATGTTAAGCATTGCTTTTTAATAAATAACTACTGTATGTCTGTCTCTTATACACATCTTTTTGTTTCACAATAAACATTTACGTTCTAAATCCTGTATTGGAAAAAGTAGTCTTCTTATCCTATTTTTAAAATTGTGTAAGAAGTATTTAAATATACATGAACATGCATTGAAATGACATGTACATGCTTTTAAAATCGTATAAATGCTCTGGCTTCGGGGGCTTCGGCCCCCACAGGGGCTTAGCGCCCCCCCCTTACCCCACCCGGGGCCCTTTGGCGGACCCCTGGACTCCACGCCCAGAACCCCCCCTTGAAGCATGCTGGCTACGGGCCTGTAATGTGCGTTCATATCGAACGCGTGCTGCGTGTCTAGAATGTATGCTGGAATTCGAAACGCAGCACGTTCTAAATGAAGGTTATGAAGGACACGCCCCTTCGTGGGAGTACTTTTTTAACGTTCCATTGCATGTATACAGGGCAGTCGGACCTCTTGCAGTTTTATACTCTTTGATGGTCTCTGCTCCCAATACTAGAACAGAGGGCGTTCTTGTACTCCTCGACGCGCATACTCGATCAACCTAAGTTATTGTGTGACTGTAAGGCCTCTAGGCCTGGCCTAGTCGTAGTCAATGTTTTATATATCGTAAACTTATTGGGCGTTTTTATACAGTATTCGATTTCAGATTACAGTATGTTACTGAGTTTCACCTGCTGTACACGATTGTTGTCATTGCTTCCGGGTCAACAGGTCATCAAACTCGCGCCAAAATCAAACTGGCGCCAGATGTCTTCAAGGAGTCATCGTAGCAACATACTCTTTGATCGTAGTCGTCGGAAGAAGGTGGCGTTAGGCCTATACCAAGAAGTTCTGTTATCTCTAAAACTCGAAATGGCTCCAAATTCCCCATATAAACGACACATAACTGATGATTGTATTAAAGATGGTAACTCGGAACGAATAGTTTTGAAGTTTTGTAAATGTAGGGAAGGAGCACAAGCACCAAAGCGAGGATCGGATAAAGCAGCAGGATTTGATTTGTACAGGTAGGAAGGCCTAGCCTAGGCCTTAGGTTGGCAACAAGAAGAGGTCTATTTAATTATAGGAAGTGGATTACATGAAATAAGTAATGCATGCGCAGTCATACTTCAATAAACTTGCATTATCGGTCAGATAAATAAATGTGTCGATTGTAGCGGCAGTTGGTGCAGAAGTTGAGGCTCAGACTTTCAATCATAAGGTCGGGGTTTCGAGCCTCCACTGTGCAGATTCACTTGTATCCTTGGACAAGGCACTTCAGCTACATTGCTTCAGTCCAAGCAGCTGTATCAATAAGGACTTTTCAATTTGAGTGGACGTGGACGGCTTTCACGTCCGTGTGAGTGGAAAATCCGAGCAGTTGACTGGTACTTGTCCACTGGTTATCTGAACGTTTCGATTTAAGTGAACGTCCATGTTGACACGTCAGTGAACTTATGACCTTGTTATCTGGGGTTTCCCCGTGTTCGCAGGCGCTATTCAAATACACTGCCCATGGTATCTTTCTCAACACTCGGGTACTGTAGTCTACGCAGCTCAACATGGCAAATCTTCATCGGCTTCGCGAATCCCTTAAAATGGTATATCCATGGGGTATTCAGGGCAGGGAGTTGTAAAAACATAAATCTGCCTGTTGAGGGTGCACCTCTCCTTCTTTGTTCGATATAGGGTTTTTTTTTTTTTAAACAGATCAATGAAAAATTATTTCCTTTTTCCTGGATGCACCCGGCCTGACTGAAGGCTGGCGGCCTCGCCTAGCTTAGGCTCCCTTAGGCTAATAGGTTGATTAATTGATTACCTAATTATCCACTGAATTTGATCCACAATAATGGATAATTCTTAAACTTAACCGAAATGCTATTTACTTCCCAGTAGAAGTTAATTTTGCCAAATTAAGAAGCACAGCGGCATCGTCCTCCATCATGAATCAAAAGTTTGCAGTGATATGACGTCATACGTCTACTTGTTATCTCAGTCAGAGAGCGAACGTCAAAACGCTGCTGAACACGTTCTCAAATTTGTTTCATCGTCTTAGTCGACTTGACACATGCGCAAGTCATCAAAACTATGTCATAGGTTATCAGTCGACATAGTGGACGTGCAAATCGAAAACTCCTTAATGGGCAGCAGCAAATTACGACTAGGCTATGACTAGCTAGTAGCAGCATTGTGATGATACTGTGTGGTGGTGTTGGGCCGACGACTGCGTTTTAATTTTTTGGGACATGGGTATTAGCCAAATGAGTGTGCGCCACCCCGAGGGTGGGCACACAATCCCCACCACCGTGATTGGCATTCCTGACATGCTGATGAGAACCCTGATATCTATATTTTTTGTTCATAGTATTAATTCATATTTTTTAATCATTTCAATATGCCTGTATCTTTTTTTTTTATTACACATTTCATATTTTCTGTTTTTTAGTGCAGTAGAAATTGTTATACCAGCAAAAGGAAAGGGAAAAGTGGAAACAGGACTCCAAATTGCACTTCCTGAAAACTGCTATGGAAGGATAGCGCCACGATCTGGATTGGCCTCAAAAAATTTCATTGATGTTGGTGGTATGCATTAAATTATTTTTTTTCCTTTCTGGTAAGCCCCGTCCCTTGGATGTTGTTGCAGTGTAAAGTTCTGTTGGCACTATGACAATAACGATCAACGATAAAATGCTAAAAAGCAATTGTTCATATAGAAAATAAGAGAAGTTTTCACACTAGCACGATTCGATTCGATTTATCGTGTATACGATAAATGAATATTTTCACAAACCAATCAAATGAATTAATGAATACAATAATCATGGAAAAACGATAAAATTGTAGTAGTAAAAACGATTTTATCATTTTTTCATGATTATGACGTCATTTGATTTATGAAAATATTTTTTTATCGTATGCACAATAGACTTTTATCGAATCATGCTCGTGTGAAAGGTATGTAAACAAATGTGTGGGACAAGCACCTATTCCTGGCAGTGGCCCTGACCTAATGGGTTAGTTCTTAAGTTTGATCACCATTTCTGAAAGATCTATTCTAAAGGTTCATCCAAAGAGCAAAGTAAGGTCCAAATAAAATAGGGTGATGTCTTATAAAATAATGATAAAGAAGTGAAGCTCTGGATGGATTTTGGGTTATGTTATGTAGGGATTCCCATCCTAAGTTATGAGGAATGGAAAAGTTGCATAACATATTTCTTTGTTTTGCATTTATTGCATATCATAAAATTGCATATCATAAAATTGCATTTGAGATATTCATTGAACCATATCCTGTTCGGGAAAACAAAGCGCAAAAGGAAATGTTAAAAGAAGGCTGTTGATAGTGATTGTATGATATAAAACTTTTCTGTTTTTAGGTTTGGGCAATCTAAATTTGTATGGAAAATAAATATATAAATATTTATCAATGTTATTAGTGTTTGTAAAATAAATGTTTACATATTTATCATTTAATGTTAAATATTAATAACCAAGTTATAAATTAAAATGAAAGTAGTGAAAATTGGTGATAATTCTTAAATGGCTAAAAATATACTTGTAAGTTAAATGCAAATGATATACGAAAGGAATAATGTAGAAATGCCTTATTGTATTTTTTCAGCTGGAGTGATCGATCAAGATTACAGAGGCGAGGTTGGTGTATTACTGTTCAATTTCTCTGATGAAAATTTCAAAGGTAAGAATACAAGCCATGTAAATATCAAAACTGATGAACTAGAAATATAGTTTTGCTGGTTTTATTAAACATGATTTAACTTGGTACAGTAGCATGTATTTCAATATTTAAGTCAATTATTAAATACAGTAGTTGTGTTTTCAAAAAGAGTGATGATGAACCAGAAATTTTATCAAATCAATTAAGTTATTTCAATCATAATTTTTTTTTTCTGATGTTGAAAATTGTAATATTAATTTTGCAATGATTTGTTTTTTTCTATTGTAGTAACCCAAGGGATGCGAATTGCACAACTTATTTGTGAAAAAATATACATGCCAAAACTTACAGAATGTGAGGTGAGTAATGACATCAGTTGACACAAATGAATAACCATTACCAGCAGAGATTGACTGTGCGAGATTCTTCATTTTTGGTCAGATAATTTTTAAAGTACAGCACTGTGGATAAGTTGTTGTTGATTGATTGTACACTACCTGTGTTTTTTAAATGAGGAAAATATTGTACATTATTATAGTAACTTAAAATGAGACTCAGTGGGGCACACAATCATTGTATCAGCCAACAAATCCATTTCCTATTTGTATCTGTACGATCTCGTGCAAACACCTTCTAAGGTTGTCGTCGCACTTAGGTCAGGGGCAGGTGTGTAGCAGTTAAATTAGGAATTAGGTGGTTGGCGAAAGTTCTTGATAGTCCAATCAAAATTTAAATGTCTTTACATCTGGCGCAGCGCAGATGTCATATGGCAAACGATCCCATTCTGGAATTTTTTTCGAATATAGAGAGTGGTGATAAGTTTTTATTTGAAGCAGTGCTCAAGTTAGGAAAGCGAGTTGGTCTGTATCGTAGTTCTCCGTGACAATGACTTCAGATGTTCCTGAATATTATTTGGTGTGATATTGAGTTTCTTTGTAGGGTGTGCATGAGTGATGGGCAATGTGATGCCATCCGTTGATTGTGGAGTATAAGCTTATCTTCGTTGAAATCGATCTAATGCACACTCCTCATCCTGTTAGGGTCTCTTAGGAATATTACAAGTGGATATTTAACAGTGGCATAATTGTAGGGGGGTGAGATGCTTTTCTTGCCTCCCACTGGAAATATTTTAAGGACAAAAATATACACTGAAGTAGTTAAAAATTGCCTCATATCACCTTATTTTTAGAGCTAGTACCCCTTCTCTCAATCGTTGGGCCTCTCACCCCTCTCCCATTAGCTCCACTATTTCAAGACTACTAGATATGCCACTGCTTGTTTCATTGTTATGCAATTCCACAGCATCTATGTATGTAACACTTAAACATTTTTATGTTAATTAATGATTGTATTTTTACATGCTATCTTTTTATTTGGCTAGAAACTGGATGAGACAACGCGTGGAAGTGGCGGGTATGGATCATCTGGACTTCACTGATAAATTTGAAAATGACCAGGTGAATGAAGGGGACAACAAACAGACAAATGAAACCAGACAATAAACTGATATGAAATAAGAGACAATAAGAGGAATTAATAATTACTATGGATTAATCAAAATGTATTGTACAATATTTTGCTGTGTTAAAATTGTCACTACATTTTGTTCAGAGACTGGCATTTCTAACCTACCACATTTTTTCTGACAGCCTATTAGGCCTCTATGCAAAATTAACTTTTAAATGTTAAATTTGATGGGATTAATGTCCACTTTATGCACAATATACTGTATTGCATACCACAAGTATACTTTTTACTGTACCATGGATATGTATACTCCCCATAGAACTAAGGAGGTTGCATATTGTGCAAGTCTCGCCCCAGTGTCACATGGATTTAAGCCCCCATTTCTAATGTGAATTTGCCCCCCTCAGAGCCAAATTGATTAAAGACAATATCCCTAGTAGCTGATTTGAATGCTAATAAATAATTCATTTTCAGGCTGAAAATTTATGAACCTAGAACCTTGTATTGTAAAAGTTGCAATATTGTTATATACAAAACTTTATACAGTATTAATGTCGTCAACATTGCACAACTCTGCATTCTTTAAGCTATTGTTAGTCCTGTTAAAACTAGTCATTTGTACATAAAATTAAACTTCTTTGAAGTACTGTATCAGCTGTTCTATCATTTATTTCGAACTCTGCCATAATCAACCATAAAAAAATACAGTATAGTTACATGGGCACAGAGCAACACATGTCCCCCTTCACTTATTTTTTAAGGGGGTTGGTCCCCTTCACTGCAATGTAATTTCATGAGTAAAGATGCCTGGAAATTGTAAAAATTATGGATTTAAGTGCAAAATTTGATCAAAAATGGCAAATTTTGTTTTAGCTTCGTAGCCCCAGCCAAGTGTGTAATTTGGGTCACAACATTACAATAGTGTCATCATACACATCATTTGATACATAATTTTAATAGTTTTCGTATGATACCAAATACACTATTCAAATTTAATCTTTTAGTAAAATACTAGCTTCAAAATGCCATTTTGGGGTAAAAATGTGTAGTAAAATTTGCAATTTTAGCAGGAGATAAGCTTTGACATACTATAACTTTATATAATATAAAGGTGTCTTGCTTTGTATGTAGTCGGTTTTTTCAAAAAGTAGCAGATGAAAAGGATGATAGGTTGATAAGAGATCAGTGAAGTGATGACGAATTTCACTACAGTATATCAGTGTCATTTTCGGCCATCTGAGGTACTATTTCCCCAACCATTGTGCGGCTGAGGTGGGTGTGGACTCTCGTCTTTGAAGTAGGTAAACATCAAGACCATGTTTTTAAGGGGTTTTTTGTCTATGGTATATTACACACATCAATTAGATCTCTATGGTTCCCGAAAATCGCTGATAAAAGATCATAAGAAATATTTTCGTTATTTTCGTTCGTTTTGACTATTAAATGGTGATGTGATAAATTTTGCTATATACGATTGTCATTTCCGGCCACCTAGCGGTAATGTTTCATCAAATTTTCGCACCTCAGACCCTATCATGGTGGGGCTGAGGTAGGTGTGGACTCACAAAATTCGGTTCTCAACCCCTCAATAGAACGACTCAGCTTCAACGGGTCCCAGAAAGTACAATACTGTACTTCAATTCCATTGGGGTCCAAACTAACCTCCAAATTGCACAAAAAAAAACAAAAAAAAAACGTATACCAAATATAGGTAAAGGAAGGAAACGAGACATCAAGTGGCGTGACGCCTGCGCTCTCGTGCGGCGGTCCGTGTTGTATTCTTAATAAAACAGGATACACTGCAGGGTTCGGTTACTGTAGTTTATTTCTACTCAACATGGCTGTCTACACCGAGACGATAACAACCACACACATCTCTTGACAGACGCCCTCTCTGTAACAATATCCCAATAACAGTGGTACTAATCTACTACAGTCCGCAGGGCCCCTCGGATCTCTTGGGGCCCCCGAAGAGGCTCCCTATCCATAGTGCCCATCTAGCACCATCCCCAAAAGGGCTTTGTTGAGACATAACAGAATAATGTCTCTGACATCGACTGCAGATATAAAAAATTTAAATTTTAAATTCGGTGAGGCCCTTACTTTGTACAAAAAAAATTAAAAATGGAGATTAAAAAAAAATGATATTCCAATTTTAAGTCTTAGTGCCATTTCCGACCGTCTGAATTGCCATAATCATAAATTGTCTTCCCTCAGCCCCAACTATGGTGGGACTGAGGCGGTATAGAATAGGAAATCTAGACCTCCATATGTGAAAGTTCCTCCCTCCCTCTCTCTCTCTCTATTACAAATTCCTGCATCCGCCACTATATATAATTTATTTCGTCGTTATAAACATTTAGAATACACTGATAAGCATGATTAAAAACGAGCATATCTAAAATCCCACAATGGAATAGCCGACCGGGACCCAAAAAAGGGCCCAGTCAGAAAGTCACATGTCCCCCGGTTCCTTCGTTAGGTCACTGCAGACATCGTGAAACTCCATAGCAATAATGCACCAGCGAATATCAGTGTATGATAATACTGTATCTTATAACTTCAGTTATGATGAATAAAAGATGCTATAGTACAATATAAGACTGACAACAAATAATATTATAGATGTTTCTTATCCCATTTTGTAGTCTCCTGATGAAGTCCATTGTGTGGACGAAAGCTTAGCTATATTCGATACAATTTATATATGTTAGTTCTCTTGATACGACATGTAGTTGCTAGTGCCTCGATTTAGCTCAGCCTCAAGTAAAACAGGCATAGGCCTATACGTCCGATTACGGTACCATGTAAGTAAGTGCACCATATCACCGTATTAAATACTGTGTATGCATAGTAGTCTAGGCACAACATGAAGAAATTAATACAAAACTTAATTTGTGCAAACTTACAATTTAATTTATGTACCCGATTTTATAATCATGCCATTGAACATAGTTGTCAGGACAACACTATATTAAATTCAATTAATTGAATAAATTATTTTGATCTATCTTTATATAATTATTTATTCATTTTTTAAAGTTAATCTTTGAGGCATTTTATTATTAATTGTGTAAGATTTTGGTTTCTTTTATCAATAATTGTGAATTTATGTAGCGTGTTATGTAAAGACCAATGCGCTTTTACAGCCATGCAGTGCAATAAATTTAGGATAATGCGGTAAATTATTCAACTATTTACCTAAAATGGCCACTATATAAATTGATTAACTTATTGATTTAGTTTAGGCCTAGTTAATGGAGTAATGATTCATTTGAAAAATAGAGTAATTCTAAGTCTCTTTCATCTAATTTATTATTTTTTAAAATAGGCCTATTTCCTTTCTTGTCTATTACATCCTTTTTCTTTTCCATTTTCAATTTCTTTTCTTCCCCTTTCCTTTCTTTTCTTTCATTACTATTCTTTCTTTTCCTTTACTTTCGTATATTTTCTTTTCCGTTTCATTATTTTATCTTTATATTTCTTGAATTTCTTTCTTTCTTTTCCTTTTTGCAGGATGTAGTAAACGTAAACTTTCCTTAAGTTCTTTCCCTTGCCTTTGTTTCCATTGTTCTTCATAGAAAATAACTGTCGGAGAGGTACGGGATTATTGTAGGGCATTCCTAATCACATGAAAAAATCATAATATTATTATTGTTAATTATTGTTTAACCAAAATTTAATAAGTGATAATTATAATCCCTATTATTATTAATCAATATATTTTGTTTCTCTACTTGAAGCTTGATTGATGATGTCAATCGGCGGAATTCGATTTTTCACTTGTTTTGTTTCGCATTCGCATAACATTTCCTTTTAAATGGCACCGGAAGGCCTCCATCAATAGTCCTCTCTGCTCTTCTTTATTTTCCGCATCAATTCCCAAACGGTAAATGGATATAATTCATTATTATTGTGTTATATTAACAGGACTTGGTGTTCAAGTTCACCGGAGAACAGCTTAATAATAGAAGACGCCATTTTGCATGTATCCCAGTATTCGAAAGCGTCAGGGGGACTAGCTCAAATGGTAGAGCGCTCGCTTAGCATGCGAGAGGTACCGGGATCAATGCCCGGGTCTTCCATTGATTATTTTCTTTTTTCCAACAGCTCAAATTAAATACAAAAGCTTGATGTTTAAATTTCTCTTCGAAAATTGTCTTCTTTTCACTACACTACCGTAAAACCTTGAATAGAAACCATGACCTTCCTTGTTTAAGACTCTGGGGTGGGCTTCGTTTCGAGATGGGACTCTGAATGCTGTAAATTTTAGAGTAGCTATACACTATACGACATTTTCAACTATGAAATTAGAAGTTCTGTTAAAAATATTTTTTTTAAATTTAACCATATGTCAGTACAATAAAATACTATCCATACTGACATCAGTCTGAATATATACTACTACCAATTAAGTACTGTATATCGAAAGAAACCCAGCCCATGTAGTGGGACACGAAGGCACAGCCCAACCCTACCCCCCCCCCCACCCCCGTTTTGCCACTAAATTTTGAAAATGTCGATGCATACCAATGTTATGTGCTACTCACTCAGCTATTCTGAAACTTTTGTGCCCCACCCACCTCCCCTTTGAAAAATTCTCGATCCACCCCTGGTTGAAGCATGGACTTCTTTTCGAGATGGGTTTCTGTTTGCAAACTGAATGCAAGTCTGTCTCTAAAGAAGCCCTTGTCTCGATTAGAAGCCCATGGGCCGCCTTTTCGATGTGGGTTTCTTTTCGAGGTTATTTTTGCAAACTGCAGAGGATAAGGGGGATTCTTTTGATGGGCGTCTCCTTGGGATTAAGCCCATGGGGCTTCTAGTCGAGGTTTTACGGTACTTTATTCCCAATCATCTTCCTCTCACTGCTTTGTTATGAAAATTCCTCATAGGCCTATACCGTATTTAAACATTGTATCTTTTATGAATAAATAAATGCGCTGCTACCACAGCACTTATTTGGTCCAATATAGGCCTACATTAATATAAAAATATATTAGAAATTGTCTTTAGTACACTACAGATTTAAAGGTAAAAAATATTTAATATCAAGACAACACAGAAACATCAAAAAGGACAACAAAGAATAATCATAATAAGAATATTAACAATAATTGTACATATAGAATACTAAATAACAATAAACAATACAGGGAATAATTTAAAATTCGTTTTAGCTATCCTTAAAAAAAGAAGAGAAAAAAGAAGTACACAGTACTTATAAAAAATATCAAATTACCAAGAACAATACAGGGAATAATTAATTAATTAATTAATTAATTAATTATATTAATGATACAAGTTTGTCTTAGGTGTTTTCTTCTCCTAATCTTTTCTTTAGGAAAATAGCAGTTTAAATTTGCCGATGGTCCTTTGCGTTTGGGGTCTGGGTACCTGAGGCCCTCAAACAATTTAGTGAATTTTTATGAGCATAAAAACATTCCGGCCAAAATCGCCAACCACAATGGTAAACCCAGTGGTGGCTCCAGAAATTTACCGACAGGGATCCGAGGGGGAGAGATCCGCGAACATAGGCCTATTTGACGAGGTGGGGAGGGAGTCAAACAAACGCACAGTCAGTTGCTCAGTGGGGGCGGCGTATGTTGAAAAGAGAGTAGGCTACATCCACTCACTAGGCATAGGCCCTATTGATTATTGATATTGATTGTTACATCTAAAAGTACGGTACATTTAGGCCTACTTTACCATTTAGGCTTATTTCCATTAATTAGGCCTATTTTTCCATGTTTGAACAAAGGGGTGCTCAGACATCACTGTGTAGGCCTATGTCTTTAATTTAATTTGGCATTATAAACAGTACATAAACAATTGCGAAAATGTTTAGGCCATTATTATAGGCCTATAGGCCTAGTCATTGACTTTTGATATAGTTGATTGTAGTTATAGCCTATTTAATTTGGTTAAAATAGGCCTACAATATTTAGGCTAAGGAGGCCCTAGGCCTTTTCTTTTCCTCTGTTTCATTTTTCATTATGTTTATTTTCTCTCATTTGATTTGCCTCTCTTGTTTTCCTTTTTTTTTTTTTTTTAAATCCCTTTCATTTTTCTTCTCATTTTTCATTCATTTCCCTTTCTTTCTTATCTCTTATCTTTATCCGTTCTTTTTAGCTTTTTAAACTTTTGAAATTCTAATGCCGGTTTTGTGTGAGAAATGTACATGAGACTTGTAGACTGTCTCTTATACACATCTCCCCATGGAGCCTGTGGCGTTTTCTTTGGCTTGGCCTAGGCTCATGGGCCTAGACACTAAAAAAATAATCATAGGGTAGTGTATCTGAAATACATACTTAACTAAATATTATATACGAGATTTGGAAATATGTCTAATAAATTCGCCATATTTAATTTTCTTCTTATAGCAAAATTTACTTACAGGTGTAAAAAATGAGTAATTATCAGTGAAGTATGAAGACCACGCTCGATCACGATGAAATTTGGTACACAGATTGCTTAGCTGAAGTGGTTGCCACAACCGATCCAAAATTCATCCCAAAATAATTTCCTTTGGAGAAAAATCGACTGATGCAACATGCCCCTGATGCAACTGACCCCACTCTCCCCTACGCCCACTTGACAGATTTTAGGTTTTGTTCTTAGTTGCCTAAATACAGAAAAAGCTAGTTAGTAGTGGTAATTGGTTGTAATATTATAATAAAGCATGTACATTAATTAAATTGATTTTAAAGAAATATTATTATCAAAGATTGTTCAGGGAGACTGTTTTCGATGTTTTGATCGATCAGCTGTTGATTTGAGAGAATAATTTTGCGAAGATTGGGTGCGCTGCTAGCTACACTACACTGCGAAAACCACCACACTGTGTGTGCGGTGAGTACAGAATTCAGTGGCTGGAAAAGAAGAGAGGAACGCGGTAGCAGGCCAGATGAATGAATGAATGAACACATTTACTGTTTTGCTGGTTGGATATTTTCCCCACTACTGAGAGTGGATAATGGTACTGGACTAGTATTCAGGAAGGATGTCTATAGAAGAACTTTATACCAAGGTAAGTGATTGGGAGGAAGTTCTCTTTAATCGCTTCCGCCTTCACATCGTAGTCTAGGCTAGGCCTGGGCTATTATTGTATTTATATTGACAACCCCCTGGCCTAGCCTATATTTTAGTGGCTACCGATGCTGAACTGAGGTGTGTCCACGGGGGTGCTAAAATGCAAACCTTTGGTTTGACGAAATCTTCGGTATTGGTCATTTTATCGTTGATACATTGATTATTAGGTATGATTGAGACGTTAATAATTCGGTTTGAATGCTACTTCTAAAGTTGAATTATATTTTATCGCCCGGCCTTGGCATCTAGGCCTAGCTAAAATGAGAAGGGTAGTAGAGGATTGGCACAGAACTAGGCTAGAAGAGGCAAGCCCAAGCTAGAGGCCTAGCCTAGGCTAGAGATGTAGAAGAAGGCTGGACGAGCTAGAGGAGAGTGTTGGCCTAAAACACTAGGCCTAGTCCATATTTATTATAGGCAATTAAGGCCACATTTAGGTCTCTCATATTTTCACATTGATTGGAAATGTAGACTACTACTGCTAACTAGGCCCTAGAGGAAGCCTGGAAGGGGCCTACCACAGGTCAGGCAAAAAATATTTAAGGAGGTGTAGTATGTCTGTACGGCCTTGAGTGGTTTTACCCCCAAGTCATTTTGGCCTTGGCCTAGATCATTTCATTTGAAACAACTGGGAAAACACTGGGGAAAATAACTCAATATTTGGGGTTTTTTTTTCTAACATTTTCAATATATATATACTGTAATTTAAGAAAAAAAAAAATCAGCTTGTTGAAGACAAATCAAAGAAAACATAAACAAGCAAAAAACAGCAATACTATAGCATTTGTGATCATTTTTTTCTTTATTTCATTAACAAAAATACCCCCAAACAAATCACAATCAATTAAAACACAATTATAATAGAAGACAAAAAAAATGATGAATGATGAAATACAGTAATTCTTCTAAATAGGCCTACTACTATTATGTAAAAGTACCCTTAGATGTCATAAAAATGCTTGAGTTGATATGACCATGAAGGTATAAATAATGGTACAAAAAACTATTGCTACCTGTACAATTGATATCGCTAGCTTTAATTCAACTACCATAAATTATCAATAAGTGATTCTAATCTATTAATGTCGTAACAGTTTAATACAACCTCTATTTGTCTAAGCCACGATTAAGCCATTATATTTTTTTTATTTTCCTTTTTTCATTTTATTGTATTGTACAGTATTCCAGATTATGGTGTGTAACACAAGTTGGATGGAAACAACCCTTGAGAGGTGTATCAATTATCCTATATAAATATGTTTTATTTAAAGAATTTAATAGATAAGATAGATAGGTAGGTACAGTGAGTACAATAGGTACTACAATGGCGTCGATTGGTAGGATATTGACTGATAGCCTGATCTCGATTTTGTAGATTAGAGTGATGGATGAATGGGTGGATAGGTTGGGAGATAAAACTGTCTTAGCAATGTCATCTTATAACATCCAAGTCAGTTGGGAAAATTATACAAGATGGGTGAATACTCCAGTTTCAGTCTGAAAGAATCTGTGTGTCCTTATTTATCATGTTTAATTGTATTTAACCTTATCAGTGTTGGTGACCTAATTGTTTGTTGACAGCAAAAATGAATGTATTATCATATCAATAATGGCCTTCCACTCCCTGTTTCCTTTTTTGGGGGGTTATAGGTGCTATTTTGTTAGTATAATTAATAAGTAGTATTTGTAATAATAACATGAACTTGGTTTTTTTTTGCCCTTCATAGATGAATCATTCCAGTTTTAGCAATGTTATTGTTATTTCTTTTTTTATATAGAGATGTTGTAGTACTGTATAGAATCTTGCTCAGTATGATAGCCTACCTACCGCCATACTGTAGCACTCCTGTAAGTTCTGAGGGCATCATGTTGCCTTAATAGTAGTCAATTTTCCTGTTGGGTAATAGTATCTTATGCAACCTGAAGATTTAAATAAAATACAGCAATTGAATAATATTACATACCAATAATTAATCAACAACAAATTAGTTAAAAATAAATAGTGAATAACATTATCGATTATAGGCTACTTATTAGTAAAATTAACTTAGTTACACAATGTAGATGAAGAGGAGATAATTATGTTAATAATACGGTAAATGCAGGCCTACTACTTTCACAGCCATTGGACAATTCAAGTACGGTAAATACCCTTTGATGGCTGGTTTCTCTGAAAGGGATTGTGTGATTACCCAACCCATTTCCTTGTATAAATTTTTAAAAAATATTTTAACTCATACAATACTTTTCAGCAGTTAATATGAGAATAAATTAAGCTGTAATGCTATTGCTATTGAACCTATTGTTGTTTTTTTTTCTTTTCCTTTTTAAGTTAGTGTTTACTTATTACTTGTTGAGCTAGATGACTCATTCATTAATAGATATTAAGACGTGTAGTAGTAGTAGTAGTACACTCCCTTTGTTAGCATTGATTCATTACAATAGCAGATCCATCAATTCAATATTCCTATGTTTTCTACTATTCCATAAAGTGGTCCTTTGTGAGAACTTCTGTGGTTATAGCCTTTTGATAATGATATATAAGGGAAGATAGGAAATCATCTTTTGTTTGAAAAATCCCAATATCTCATTGATGGAAAAGTGTATGAATAGGAATAAGCTTTAGAAAATCAAGGACTTGGTTTTTCAACTGGATTTTTCTCTTCATGCACATCTGCTTTATAAACACTTAGCAGTATATTATAATAATTTCATACAGAAGTCTCCTATTGTTAATATTACAATGCTTACAACTTGTACTATTATAAAATGATCCAATTCTAATGAATTAGGGTATTGTTTGGAGGTGTTTGTAATATGTTTTTATAGCTGCTTTGATTTCCTTTTAATGTGACACACCAAACATGGTTGTAACTTATCCAATGAGATGCAAATTACCACCTGTCTACCTTTTCTATTGAATCAATTGAATTTCCGTTAAAATGTGTCTACTGAAATTTGTCACCGATAAATCAATTTCAGTCTCTAACTGTACCCTTCATACTTGTTGAGTATTATTCCCCAGATACACTGTGAAATGTCATACTGTTAAGGGGTCAACTTTTTTTTTCTTGTAACTGATAGTCTCATGTATGTTGCAAATCTCATGCCATAGCAGAATAAAAATTTTCTCTGTGCTCAACCTGCCCATACAAAGTAATATTTACATTTTTTTTATATTAGGTTTTTTTAAATTTTTTATAAAAGGATCAAATAAGTTATCACCTGCCAGTGAGTCACAACAAAACAAATTTGATTTATTCCCCTCTGATTTGAAGACAAAAAATCTTAACATGATTTCATATTGGAATTTTAATTTAAAACAACCAATTTAAGGGCCTACCTTACAAAAAATACAGAAATGTTGTTACAGTATTATTAGTCATGCATCTGTTATTTAATTGGAAACGAAAATATTTTCTCTTGTAGAATTTTCAATTGAAAGCCATAGAAACTATAATAATATAAAAGCAATTCAAATATTGACTGATTGTTATTCTAATAATTATTTATACTCACATGATAAACTATTGTTATGGCATCTGTTGTTTTTTTTTTTTTTTTTTTTTTCAAGAATACTAGTAATTATCTACTTAACATGAAAATTAGTTTTCTATTGCATTGTGTAAAACTTAATTAGTTAAATACAGTGTTTTCCTGTGGGGTATTATGATTCTATTAATATTTTTTTTATGTATGTAACCATTTAAAAAAAAATGAATTATGAAGTGAGGGGCATTTTGCAGAGTACAGGTACAGACTACAACCTATTTTTTGTAGAATGTTATAGAAGTTTTGATAAGTACCAGTAAATAAACATTCAATAGTCAATGAACCAATCAAATTAGTCAGTTAATCAATCAATAAGTATGTTTATTTAAAATCATCTACTAAGAGTAAACATTATCAGACACTGCTTTTCCATTTGGCCCTCATTACTTATTATAATTTATTATTGATGCGACTTCATCCAATGTTACATAATACTTTCCACCTGTCTGAGTTGTAGAGGTAAACAGTATTGGTTATTATAAATTACAATTTTCTTACATTTCATCGACCCTTATTTTATTACATTACCATATAGGTATTGTTATTAAAATATTTTGTTAATTAGATAAGTGTTGTGAAATGTAACAATTTAATTTCATTGACATACGAGTTGGTGATAAATTAGCCACCAAAGTCATAGTACATTTTTATATAGATTTTAATACATTTACTATTCAATTTGTTTAACTTATGAATTATTTGTATTCCAAATAATAAAAATGGCCTACAGTAATTGTAATATTTTAAATGAAACAAATTTCAAATCATGTAGCTTTATATAAGCGATTTCTATTCTGAAATTAATAATTTAGCAATAATAGTAGGCCTATTATTAATGCAAGTACTGCAATATCAGTTTACTGTAAATTTAAGGTCTGCTTGGCAAATAATAATCATTGTTAGCAATTACAATTATTGTTGGATTGTGTGGGATATCTGTGTTGTGAATAGATTGTTCTAATATTCCTCTAATTGCCACGGCTTGTTGGAACCAATAATAATATCTAAACACATATTTTAATCATATGTTGATGATATATAATTGTTAAAATGATGACTTTGACAACTGTCACACACATAAAATAAAAAGAAATAACCTAAAAAATCATATTGAATTGTTTATTTTATACTAGTTATATAACTTTCAATAAATCACATGGGCCTATAAAAAAGATCAGTTGTTGATGGCTTACACTATTCTAATATGAAAATTCTTAAATTTGTTTGCAGAAATCTAATGCAGTGATTATAGAAATGGAATTATTTTATTTTAATATGTAAAGGAAATGTTTTGTTTTGTTGTAATTCCTAATTGAAGCTAACACAATAATAACAATGATAAGGCCTCTATGCACTTCACATTATCATTATAATTTAGCAATAGAACATTTTTATATATTTTCACCTGTCTTAAATGATCAACCATCATCAGTGTCAAATTATTGGCACACAGTCTTGCAATGATGATACAGTATATAAATAATCATTATCATTTACAAACCTTGATGCTTACCTTGTCTGTAACAGACATTTATATAATGTGATATAATGCACTGCTTGAGCATCTTGTGTGTTTTCCAGAAATGAAATACAAAAGGCTTAAGGAAGGAAAATGTTTGTGTGGGCAAAATAAAAATCATTTACCTGAACTAGACAGGTGTGTTGACCACCTCCCACCCTACCCTAGGCTAACAAACACATAATTCACAGGCTCTTTCATTGGCCAGATCCCCCATTGTGTCCCAGACAATATATTGTGAATTGGATGGAATAGGCAGATGAAGCAGCTCATATATCGAGAGAGAAAAACTTTTTCTTGAGTTCTGGAGTACAGAACTGTGAGAGACCGATCTAAACCGAATTCTTAAATTGATATTAGAGAGACAGGTTGTCGGTCAAAGCTAGCTAGACTTGTTTCTGTTACTGGACCTGTTTAAATGAATAGCATGTTGTCACAACTGTCACAAATAACTGGCCAATTTGTCATAGCTAACTGGACAAAAGTTAAAATGCAGGGCAAGTTGTCTAAGCTAACTGGACCTGATTACTACATCAATCATTTCCTTAGACTTTACAAATCTATAATTTGATTGTTTCCATGGGGCTCATTACTGTCAAACTGTTAATCTTATAGGAAGGTCCCGTTGACAAATACTTTTATGTTTAATTAATGATTTATTGACACCAATTATAAGAGTGTGTGCATAGTGTGCAATTAATTAATAGTTATCAACACACTCACTAAATCAATTCCTATACTGTACTTCTCACTAATTCATACTTTCAAAGAATTTTTATGATGCATACTCTCTACTCCATGACATTAACTGTATGTTAGTTGGTCTTAGGCCTATAAGGTTTACCATGCTAACGTATGTTATAACCACGGCACGTACTTAGTTTCTTCAATCAGTGCTGACTGTATAATGTGTGATTTATGTAATTGTAATGTTTCTCATGGCCTTGATGAAAAACAGCATGTATTGTTGATTTGTACTTCATGAATAAATAAAGTTTTACTACTACATTAGCAGTTAATGAATACTCCATCCTTCTTCATATAACCACTCTATACATTACTACAGTGTATAGTATTTGTGATATAACCTTGCTTATTATATACCTCAAGTTGCAAGTTTCACATACCGGTTAAGTCAGTAATCTGTATTCTCCAGTACAATACCGTTTCATTTTACTTCTTCAGTCATGCATTTCCACTTACCACTTGTGTCAGTCCTTTGGAATTTCATGTGAATGCTTGAATGGGTAAAGGTGAACCATGAACCATGCATATTGTTAACATTTCCTAATATTCTAACTTTTGGATAAATAATTTAATAAATGATAAATAGTGTAAATTTAATTTTAATTTTTTTATTTAGGATATCGGTTGGGGCAGGTGGGAGGGAGTGAACTGGGTGCACAACAAACATTACAAATCACGGTTTATGGCTGGGGGATGGGAGTGGGGAAACAAATTTAAGCGGGTGTCTGGGGAAAAATTACAATTATAATTATAATAATAATTATGATAAATCAACTCTAAAAAAACCTAATATAAGAAGTCTCAATGTGCCTTATAAAACTTAACAAAAAAAAATATTCACTGGAGTTCTATAACAGTGTGCTAATCTGTAATAAATTATGAATCTGATGTCAACATTCAGTGACTTAAGCCGTGATGATCTGAAAGTTACAGTATTGTTCAACATAAAAAAATAGTAACATTGTTTTTGTTCTTTATTTTTATGAACGTTGATAAGGCAAATGACAAGACGTACAGGCAAATTGTCCAGACATACATGATGATACAGAGGTTCTGGCGATGTTGACATTTAACAGAGCTTACTGTATACGTTCATCAATTTTAAAAGCACATGATCCTGTTTGAGTTCCTTGGACATTAATGATCTGAAAAGGCAATAAACATTTTAAAAAAAAACAGATAGCATTTATGAATTGCTTTCCTCATGAATTTTTCAATTCATTAGAAATGTTCACCTTTTTAGATATTAGTATGTTTAGATATCGGTAATAATTCTTAACTTTTGACACTGTTACTGTGTTTTGCTCACCAGAGGTCATAAAGTGATAGCTGTAGGTCCAAGTTATTATTTCATGAAATCATTAAAGCACATAAATTCAGTTCCATTTTATAGACCTATTTAAAATCTGAAACTGATAAAACAATGCTACAGTACATAAGATGTAATACTAATGAATAAAATACTGATAAAAATTGATCTTCTTATTTGATACTGGCAAAAATTAAAATTACTAGGAGGAGCATACACAAATATTATCAAAATACCATTGCTTCTTGAAAGTGAAAATATTGAATAATTAGTATTGACTAATAATGGCTAACCTTAGATTTTTGGTAAACTATATTATGGCTTATTATAATATCAATAATATGTTAATTGAAATCACTGAACTTGATATTTGGCTTCTAATTCTAACTTAATTTCCTCCTTGATTTTAATTTCAATATTAATTTATTTATTAGACGAAAAGGTTTGTGATATTTCGGAATATCATGAAGGGTGAATCTAGGATTGGACAAATAAGGGAACAAAGCGGGGGGGGGGGGGGGGGGGGGGGGGAAGAGAGTGGAGGGGACTTGATTATTGTTGTTTTTAATAATATTATTTCATTAATTACTATTTCCATCAGTGGCATGCTGATATCAAGTAAAATGATAATCAATGGCATTAAACCTTGCTGCAAATGAAATTTGACCTGCAAACTACCAGGGGAAAACATGATATCGTTTTGAATAAATATGATAACCTGAATAATGTGGAACTTTCAGCCTATGAAACAAACTCTGGTAGCTATAGCACATACATATAGCTTAGTTTGTGCTAAACTGACAAATTATTGTATGTTGTATAAATATTTTCTGAATTAGTTTCCGAGAGCTGGAAAAGCAGATTAAATTGTGTACTCTAACAACATAATTCGTGATTATCAATAATAATGTTTTATACAGTTAATGCAAGAGATCCTATGCATTTACATGAACAGAAAAACAAAAGTATTAAGAGGGATACTGTATAGTTGTTAAATTAAATGTGGTATGGTTAATTTGTTCATTTTTAAGCAATATAAAGGCATTTTTATTTCTTGTTTATTGAATCTATTATCCGTTATTTAATTTCACTAGGTTCCATTAATTTAAAAGATAACTAATGCTATATAAAAATTATAATCATCTACATTACCTGTCTGTAGTAGGACATCATAGTAGATGCTATAAGCTATTAATAATTTTGAAAGCACACTTAATCAATAAAACCTTTTAAACCATAATGACTTTAAATTATAAATAAATAGAAATAGAAATAGTAACCAATACCTTGGACTACATTAAACATTAGGTGCATTAGCATGTCAAAGTCAAATGTGTAAATATCATGTGTCCTTGGCAATAATAATTATTTATTATATCTTTATATAGTTATATCTTTTCAATATCATCTCAATTTAAAACAAAAACAACTGATGTTGACTTACACAAGTTTTCATCATGTTGTTAGATCTGAAACTACTCAAACATTAATTTTATCTACTTCTTATTAGCTGTCAAATATCTATTTGAACTTCAAATTCCTGTTATTAATTCATTGTTAATGATGATCATTATACTTTTTGGTATATGCCATGGACATCATCCAAAACATGACTGTATCCATGAGGGATAACTTAGATTGCTTTAGTTCGCAAGCCTGATTAAGCAAACAATTGAGTAGTGCTTAATATGGTGCATGATATTAGCAAGGTCACAGGTACAATCCATAGTTGATGTCTACCATTCATTCACTGACTAAAAGCTAACTCTACCGACTTTTACCTTTGTATGCTTTGCTTCACTTAGCTCGTCTCTACTGCTCTTATCTCTCCAAAGAGAACAATTGGTAGCTATTGAGAGTTGTTATACGTGGGCAGGACAGTTTTGTATTTTCAAAATTGTGTCCAATATTCCTACTTTGTGTCTACATAAGTCAGGTGCTCTAAATATGAGCATTATCATTATGATACATGAATATGAATGCTTACAATTATTGTATGTTAAATGTGACTTCTTCGATCATTGTCTTGTGAGGTTGACTTGGACCATGGAGGTATTGGACTATGAAGCTCCAAATGAACTACTTTTTAAAATTGTATGCCTATATTGATAATAAGATTAAGTACACATGTACCGTTTTATTTGAAACAATTGGAATGAATGTTAAGTATTCTATAGTCATGATATCAAGGTTGCATATTTGTGCATGATTTGATTCTAAAAAACCAAATATAAGAGAAATTGTAGAAAATACTCAAGACACATAAAAAATGATAAATTATAACACTGACATAATTTACAGTACTGAACAATGTTTTTTTGATCATCATTCTTATAACGAAAATGGTACTCTCGATCATGTGATTTGTATAACAAAATATATCCTCCACAAAATAATACGTAAGCCATGCTATCTCTGGAGTATGTGTACTGGTATTGGGTCAAGTAACCATCTTGGCATCTAGTAGCCATTGACATGAAGTTGGTATTTTAATGATGCTAGTTTCAAGAGTGAAATACCACCACATTTGTAGCAATCACAAAACAATTATAAAACAAAACATATCGATTAGTTAAAATGTTGCTGGAGTGGAACATAGAGATTTTGGTTGAAGCAATATAGTTTAATGTAGATAGATTTATATATTGCTTTACACAGTCTCAAAGCATTTAAAACATGAACTACTGTAGCTCACACAGTAACGTTCTTCTCCAAGGCTCCACAACAAGGGTTGTGTGGACCAGTATTCCGGGGTACAACCACCTACTCGTCTAGAAAGATGTACGGGGTTCTTTATATTGCACATGAGCCAATTGTGTACATTGGGCCTACGGTTTATAGTCTTTATCTGAGAAGACTTGTTACACCACCAGGACCACAGGCGAGCATGCCGCTCAAACTAGCGCTGAGCTCTGCCCTAACCACTTGGCTAAGCGACTCGCCGACTTGTCAACAGGTCCTGAAGAAGTTGCCTCTATCAAATTGACTTTCTTATACAGCTTTATCAAGTACTGACGGTATTGTCCGGCCTCATTGTTTACCTCTTTGTGTACTGAGTGTACATGGCCGGTAAATCATTATTTTTGAAGCACATTGAGACTCCGTGAAAAAATCAAAGACCGCTATTTTAAGTTGTTTTGATTTGATTTATTTGATATAAACTAAAATAAAAAACAAGATACAGAACCATGAAGTCAATTAAGTTTTGGTATCTAGGATGACCCTCTAAATCCTAATAGAAGATTTATTTGCAGAGGGGTTCCATGTTCTGTAGCAGTGTAAGCACTCCATACTTTGAATTTTATTTGATTTTCGGTATATAACTAAGAAATCTTTAGGTAGGAGAATAATACTTGCAGTGTCATTGTGCTGAATTGTGTGCAGGTGTAGTTTGTGATTACTGTTAGCAGCCGATAAGAGGCGCTCATTGGCTTCGTGTGAAGATGATCATTCCACAATGGCAGTGGCCGACATGAATAATAGCATTGGGTAACCAGTTATCCCAAGTTGAAAGAAATCCCTTCAGGGAGATCAGCATAAGTCAATTTCGTGAATGCTTACCTAGAAAAAATCGACTAATTTCCTAATCTAAATTTAACTTAAAGTAGCAAAAACATGCAAATTTCATTAATTTGCGGGAGATGAGTTATTTTCCGTAGATTCTTGCTTGTGTGCGAGACACCGCTCCAACTTGCAGGAGTCTCCTGCGACTTCCAGGAGAATTGGGGCCCCTGGGGTAAACCTCTACTCTTCTGAAAGATGCAGTGGTTCTTCAAACTGCACATGAGCCACTTTTTTGTATCAGTCAAAAAAAAAAATTAAAACTAATGCACATTACCAATTATTTTTGGTTGGTGCCTTCTGCACCTCATAGTTTTTAGTTTCACATGGCATATAGTTTTACGATTTTCTATAGACTTTGATACTGTAAAGGAAAGCTGTTTGCTATTATTTCCATTGTGTTTGGTTATCCTACCTGCTGCCACATCAGCACACTGGAGCATACTTCACTGCTCAGACTTTATGCTCTCTGACTGTCAAACCAAACACTTTGCATCTTGACAGAAACACTTTATATTTTACTGAAATGAAGAAACAAGTGTGCATATATTTTTACTTCAAGCAAGTAATAAGTAAAATTTCTGAACACTTTGAAAATAACCTTTTGACCTCATAGAAATTCTACAATTATTCTACGTATATAGTAACTAATAGTATTCTTTGCACATTATTTAGGTCAATACACTGGCGTACAATCAACATAATCACCCTATATTGGAGAGTTCATTAATCTGTGTGTTTGTAATGAAAACGTTTATATAATACAGTAGTAAATAGTTGCTGCATTGAATTAGTGGCCTTTTAAATAATTGCAGCTTATTTAGAAAAAATATAATACTAGTATTACAAAGTAAACATACCCTCATCTGCCTGTTATGCTGCCGCATTGTAGTGGTCTGAGTAGAATTAGGAACAGTTTGAGGTTGTACACTAAAGTCGTCATGAATATTCATAAGTGATATGTTTACACAATTACAAATTATAAATGTGAAATTAGCTGGTAGGCCTGTCCCTGTTATGGAGCATTGCTGTTATCAGTCCAGCTGGTGGTGTTGCATTTCATATCTAAAACAAGGCAGTATTAATGCCATTATCATGCTAAACTTAGTCATCATTTTAAATGCCTAAATTTCTGCTCTGATTGGCTGCAGATATTTTTATGTCAGGAGCACTTTCCCATTTGTGGATCCTGACAGTTTTCCATATGGTTCCTGTAAATTATTGGATTTGGTGTTCGGTGATGCTTTTTTTAAAACCCTGTGAATATTTTACGATTGAGTGAATTGGAAATCTATCAAGGTCAATATTGAAGCTTAAGATTTGAGGCATGGTTTGGATCCCAACGCTTGGCCGTGCAAGTATCTCTAGATTTGTTGTCTGCAGCTAGACACAATGGCTATGAATATTTCAGTCATTACATAAAATGTCAGTATTGTGTGGTTCATAGGATTTGTAACAAAACTTTAGTAGTCATGCGATCACTTGATACTGGTGTAGCAAATTTGAGTCATGTCGATTGATTGGGCATTTCGCTTCAACTACACACCAGTTGATTACAGAGTTTATACCAAAGTAAGTCTTCAATTAAATAATGATGTTTATATTATACTGTAATAACAAATATATGAATGATGGTGATGCTAGATTTGTTATTTTGGTGCAGTGTAGTATACATGTGCTTTACGGAACTTGAATGTAGGAATTGTAGGGCTATCAACTTTGTGAGATGCCTCTCATTGATTGAGATGTTTGAGCCATGTTTTGGATTTAAATAGGATATGTGCTTAGGTTTGAGGTGACTACAGTCTCCACCCATCCTTAGGATTGAGGTATGGATCAGACCTATAGAGTACCACAATCGTGTCGTCACGATGCCAGGTTGCGCTCTCTGTTGTCAACAGACGTAGGTCACTGTTTATTACGCCTGAGTGACTGCATAGGCTTTCTGAAATAGGCATTTTAAAATCTAATATTTTTTTATCAAAACGTACTAAAAACACTAAGTTATCAAACACACATTGTATCATCAATTTACAAAGCAAAGGTAAGAATGATACAACATCTTAATAATTTACGTTGGAAATTGGGATCAATGGTTGGTTAGTGGCGAAAATGGCGTCGGGTTGAACGCATTTTGCAACGATAGCAACAGAGTAGTATCACCTGGTATCGTGACGCAACACTGTAGTACTGTATGCTTCTGATGAGGTAGTTGTTGTAACAGTACTCAGAATTGAGGATTCCTTTTCCGATGTCAGTGTTTTTTTACTGTATTGCCAGGTCCCTAGTAGAGGTCCGGTGGTAAATCCACCAAAGGTTTTGGTAGTATAGGGATTTAAGATGCTTATTTAATTGATTTGATAATGTGTGTTAAGAGAGTAATATATTTCTAAATGTAACTTGATAATTTTTAAACTGGTGTCACAGAATTATTTATAATTATTAATTGTGCTTGTATAGCACATACTGCATGCTTCCCCGAAAATGATAAGCCTGGTGATTGGCTAATTAATATTATTGTTATTATTGAAATTGGAACTGTAGATTAGTGTTTAAGATGCATGCTTTCTAATTCTAGGGATAGGTTTTAAATCCTACAAGTGCCAGCAATTTTTTCTACTAAAAAACCCACATCCTTATTGTCTTAATGAGATTTATAGATAATTATGCCGGTAATTAACACCGTATTTGTCATTTACTGCGAACCAGGTCAAAAAAAAAGAAAACAAATAAATGAGTCATTCTCAGTCAATTAAATAAACAGGAAATCTACAATATTGAATATTAATTTTATAAAAAAATAATAATAATCAAAAATTAAATTTTAGTATTAAGGTAGCATTGTTATAAATTGATATTGTAAAATTTAAGTGTTCATTTTAAAAAGTAGAGTATCATATTTATTGTATATGGGTCATTGTCTCTACCCTTGGACCCTGCTTAAAACTACAGCATATTGTGGTTTAGATAAAACATGCATCGTTTAGATAAAAACATGTTTTAATACTTTAAGTGTTGACACATACATACTGTAGTTATGTACAGTACGCATACATTATCAGTTTATAACAAGTTACAGTAGGATCATTAGAACACCAATTGAAAGAAGCCACTAGCCATTAGTAGCTTATCCTAGAAATTTTCTAATTTGATTTTAGCGATAGACACACGTCCCCCTTGAGCCTTTTTTGTAACAATAATACTATCTAATCAGTCTATGAGAAATTTTTCATGGCTTTAGCACCAAATGTTATGTTTGCCCAAATGGAGTGGAGGGGGGGAGGGGGGCTAAACTGTTCAACTGGGGATCGGACAACTTCTGAAGGAGAGACCAGTAGGGATTAGGCCTACTGTACTGTAGGTGCCAAGCTCAGGTGAGGGTCTAATAGAAAACACTTATAGTCATTCAGAATTCTGGGCAATTTTAGACTACTTTCTTCAGCTATTCGTTGTGGCCCACGGGGGCTTGGCCTATTTGGGGCTGTCATAGTCTGTCTCTTATACACATCTAGATGTGTTGAGTCAGCCATAGTTAAGGCGGCCTTAGGCCAATATAAGCGTGATCAGGCGTTAAATCATCATGATTCTACTCATCAACATTGTTTAATGTTGTTAGGCAGTAGTCAAGATATTTTTTGGTATTCATAATTCTGTTAAATACTATATTGTCAATATCAGAGACATATTTTAAAAAATTGAATCATACTCAGGGATGTCACCACGCTGGTCGGCGGTGGACGGGCCCGTCCAGCACTCAACATTTCCGACCAGGATTTACAGGCTCCCGACCACCACTATAATTTCAACAGTTTACAAATTGTAACAAAATAATTAGTTTACCTAAACACAATAGACAAGCTAAATTGATAGATAAAGACAAGAAGAATACAATAAATGTTTTCGTGGTTACGTTAATTGTAACAAAATACTGCACTGCCCTGCTATTCATCGCTAACTTAACAGCCTAGGCCTAGGCCCAGTTGAGTCATAGGGAAATTTCGTGGGCCGGCATTACATGGTTGCTCTTTACGCATTCAAAGGTTAAAGTTTAAATCGTGAACATTCAAGTGTTTTATTATGAGAGCATGGTCTGGGGCAGGAAGATTATTAAAAATTTACAAAACCTGATTTATGGTTTATTTCTTTACTTTGTTTTCATTTTGTATTTTAAGTTTTTCACTTTTAATTATAATTATATAATGTGTGTAAATGGACAAAAAATAAATAAATGAGTGCACATGAATCAGTGACATACGCATTCATTGTGGTAATCGTCAAACATGTGAAATTACGGCAAACAATGCGGCTGGGTACAGTCGGATCGACGCTTTGTCGCCGGGATTTGTTCATTATTATTTTTTAATCTAAAACAAAGCATGTCAATTATTGAATTTAATTGGTGACATCCCTGCATACTGTATACTTGATTAAAGAATCATGAATGAAACCCCCATTTACTGTACAATAATATTTAAACTCTTTTTGGCTTCATTAAAAGCATCACCACAAAGAAACGTAAAGATATAATAATTTGGGATGGAATTTCTCCTCCATATATAGAAAGACGTTATAATTCCTTCCCTTCCCAGCCATATCAAAAGCTACTATGATCTTTCCATGATCTTTGGGCATTGTTCATATTTTCAAGAAAATATGAAACACTCTTTTCTGTAACCACTCCTCACATAAAAAGTACATAATAAAATGAAGATGATTTAGAGATTATTATTTTTTTTATTTTTTAGTTTTCATATGTTCATTTACTGTTGAACCCCTAGCATATGAATTTTTGTTTTATAATATTAATTTTGGTTTTTATTTATTTGGTAAAACAATCTCACAACAACCTCAGAAGGCAAACTAGTAAGTTCACAAAAACAATGCATTGGAAACATACAAATTAACTGAAAATGGATGACTCTCGGGGAAACGTGTATTTATTTTTTACAGTAAGAATATTATTACAGATACCTCTATACCCGTTTCTACCTAAAATACTGTATAATTGACCGTATGATTATGGATTCTATAACAGTTGGCTGCATCACCAGTGCATTGCTCCGATTCTTACACACAATAGAAATGCTAATGCAGCGATGGAGTCAATGTTCTTAGGTCATTGATGTCATACTAATAGCTCAATGCCTAATTTAAATTGTTCCCCTAGACTCATGGTATATCAGTAATCATGTATGGAGTCATGGATATCAAAATCCTAGTATTCTCAATATAAAATACTTTTGATTACCTTTTTGATAAATGAAAAGAACCATACAGCATATTATCATATTATAATCTAATAATATCTTCAATAGCTCAATTCTTAATTTTAAATCTTTCTTTAGATCACTGGATTTCAATAATTATAAATGAGGTCATGGATATCTTATTAATAGCATACTGAATTTAAACTATTCCTCTAGATCAGTGTTATTAATAATCATACAATGTTCAGTTCATGAAACTATTCTTGATCAATGGTATGTAGGCCTAAAACGACTTCGTTGACAAAGGAAGTCAACGTCAACGGAAGTGTGTTAATTTGCAATAAGTTATCCTCATGGCCAACAAACATGGCCAATTGTCAGTTTAGCAACAACATTTGCATTAATATAATTTAGATTAAATTTCAGAAAATAATAATTAAAATATTTGCCCACATAAAGCCAAAAAATAATATGTTAAACAGAATTCAAAAAGTGCATGAAAATATTAGTTTACAAGAACATCCATACTACTACAAGCCGAAGCAACTTTGATTATGCTAGTGTGTATCGCAGTAAGTCAGCCATTTTATTTTCACGAGTATTTACCAGCTTTCTATTTGTCTGGTCGTCTTCGTTAAGTAGGATTTTACCACTGTGCAGGCAGCCAAGGTTTAACGAAGAACGACCAGTTGAAAAGGCTAATGTTATTTTTATTTTTTAATTTTTGTTATTACTGTTGTTTGCTTTTTATTCACTCTTATAAATACTCTGATGTATGCTTACCTTGAATGTTACATGTAGTGTTGTTATAAGGGAGTTTTCGCAAGCTTACGAAAACAATAACAAATACGGTTACGTCATCAAATATTTAGACGACTCTTTCCCAACAGTAGCATACGTGTCATAATGTAGCAGATTCCTACCTTTTACATGAATCAAGGATAATATTGAGCTTGTAAAGTATATTATTGTCAATAATGTTTTTTTTTCGTAAAGGCACGAATGACAATGATGTTAATTTTGTATTTGTTATCGTTTTCGTAAGTTTGGGAAGCCTCCCTTCTGTTACATTTTTTTAATTTTCATTTTTGTTGTTGCTGTTGTTCTCGTTTTGTTGTGATTATGTTGTCTGTTAGAAAACAAAAATGCAGACCTACCGCACAAATGAAATACACAATACAAAACACGAGACGTTTATAAGCTTTGATATTAACATAATGATCTACATAACAATATATTAATGACGAATACTAAAATTATCTCAGGAATATCATAATGCTATTTTAATGTCAGGCAAAGTCTGAATGCTATAATGGCCACCATTACATAGGCCCCAGGGTCCAACATTGTTAAAACAAACATGTTTTACCAGATTTCACTGACATCATCATCAGCGTGAGGATTTCAAGCAGGCAGTATGTGTTAAGTGAGTGAAAGACAGTGATAAACATTACATTGTATATGAACACAAATTGGACCATAATAGCTAAAACAAAAAACATTATATTATTGATATAATAATAGTAGCAATATGGTTTATTTGATTATCTTATCTAACAGGAGGATAATGAATGATAATCTATGCCAGTAATATATAATAGTTTATTAAAAGGTACTGTAGTCCTGTATTCATAACTGAATCTAGGGGAATAAGTTGTTAGCTCATTGTGCTAAGCCTCAACCTTGTGTGGTATTATGGTCAATTCCTTTCCATGCCGCCTTTTTTCTCCCCAGTAGTGAACCAACAATTACCCATTTATACTCCTGGGTGGAGAGAGGCAAACGTAGGTGAAGTACCTTGTCCAAGAACATAAGCAAAATGCACAGCGAAGGTTCAAACCCCTGACCTCAAGTTTGAAAGACCGAAATGCAACCGCTGCCCAAACGCTCGCACTTGTAATACATACGTAGTTGGTAGAAAATTTGTGTGACTGGTACTTTGTAATGTGTGTATATCTCCTATATCATATAGCTTTTTAGATAATTTATTAGAATAGATTGTGTTGAGGTCTAAACTTCAAATGCCTGTACCGGTATAACAATTGAAAAGTGCCAGATTTGATCAAATAGATAGATTGCATTATCTTAAGAGTTTAAAAGTTCGGCTATTGTAATAGACAACGGGCCCCATTAAATGCAAATGGTCATTGAAAGAGAGTACAGTAGTACCCCTCCTCATTCTTGTTGGTGGACTGGGGTTGAAATCTTTGACACTTAACCTGTGAAGGTGTTTTTGGATTGCCATTCCTCACTATGATCGTTACTGGTGGGTTGGGGTTGCCATTCCTACTGTTTAGTTGTTGCAGGTATTTTTGGGATTAGCATCTTCAGAAGCATCATAAGCTTAAGATAGAAATAACAGTAAAGTTGAAGAGTCATGCAGCTGGCTCTATTTAATAAGCCTACTAAATATGAATCCATTCCTAGAAACAACCAAAATAATGTGTAGTTCGTAATAGGTCTACCGCCGCCAACTTGTGATTTAATTGTAGCCACAAAAAAAAATGTCAGTATATCAAGTGATAGACACATGCTACCACTAGGAGCCTATTGTTTAATACATTCAATATATTTGTATCTATTACCATTGGCATAGGTCAATTCCACAGAATCAGGGATGTCATGACTAAAATTAAAAGTTGTTCTACATGTTTTGTTCTACATGTTTTTTTTGTTTTTTTTTATAGAAATAGACATAAAAATAATGTTTTTTTTAATGGTATTTTCCGTTTTCCTGACTCTAATCTCTGGTATACAAAATAGTTTACAGAACTTTAAAAGTCCTCCAGAGATACAAACTACAGAACATTTTTTGCAGTATATTTTTATGTGCTTTCCTTATTATGATTCATATAGTACTTCCAGTTATGAATTGATTAGTTTAGTTAGTATATCATCATACATAGTTACTAACCTGAGAGATTTAAAATGCGTGAGCTTGGGGGTGGGTGTGCTCCGAGGATCTGAGCATTTTAAGCTCTATTTACAATTTGAGTTTCAAGGTACGTTTAATTTGAGCACCCAAACTATGTAGACACACAAATATTTCTTTACTGATCAATTTTTAGTAACGCGTCAGTGAAATAAGTATTCACGCAAATACTGTACTCTCTAATGACTCAAGTTACTGTATGACCATTTTTTATATTTTTAATGAAACCAATTTCTAATTTTAAATAACATTTCCCCTGAATTTGTGATAATTCGATATCACGCATAGACTTGTGGTAAATGCGTAACAAATTTAGGGTCACGCATGTATTTCTGCAAAATGCGTGTTTCATCCAAAATCACTTTGAAATGTGGGACCATCCCGCACGATGCAAGACGGTTGGTAACTATGTCATAATGCGGTAATCACTTTTCATTCTGTATTATTATGCAGTACTTAATAAAGTTAGTCAATGTAATACAATTCAGTAGATAACAAAAAATTGAAAGGAAAATAGTATTAATCTTGTATCTTAAACATATAATACTGTAACAACAATACTGTAATTAAATGTTTGTTTTGCTTACTTTGTGTATTTAAGGAATTATTCACTTTTAATTGAAAATTAAGAGCGAATAACTTCCTTTTTTCACTTTCAATTGATAAAATTCTACCCTGAAATTTGTCCCAATTATAAATGTGCAAATAACTTATTCCTATATATTGTCTGCTGGATGGACCCTTCAAATGAACAGTAATTATTTTAAGGACATTTTTAATAATTTTTTTTTTATTATTAAATTATCAAAAATTAAGAATTAAAAATACTTAAAAAATATAATATTTATCAGTGATGTTTTAATACTGATTAAAATTAAATGTAATTTTTTTATAGGGTGCTCGGGTATGGGTACGAGACCCTGATGAAGTATGGATTGGTGGAACACTGACTAAGGATTATAAACCAGGAGGTAATATAGAAGTTGAGTTGGAAGAAGATGGACTGGTAAGTTTTTAGTAATAAACAATAAATTCTAAATGCACTAAACTCGCCCTTATCGTTGCAAATCGAACACAATCATTTAAAGCAGCATACAGTATGTTTTGTTTGGATGTTCACACCACAAGGATTGTTAAATTGATTGAAATACCTAATTGCCATGCACAGATAATATAAATTATTAATAAACTTTACAGATCCTACCTAGGTCTAAAGTTTACAAAGTGTTATACTGTTACACAAGTTGTACAAGATGTTACACTGATGTTACATAAGTTGTAAAAGAATGCGCATTCACACGCTCCTCAATATAACAGTCTATTTTGTGAATACTTACATGGATAAACCGACTAATTACCATTGTTCCTAAAACGAAACACTTTTTCAAATACAATGGAACAGTCTGACCCAGAGGACACGGAACTAAGGGGTGCCGCGTTATGGAGAATACGGTAATGTGTGACCGGAAATGGTCTGCCAGTTGGTTTTTACCATGCGCCAGTGATATTGGAGTACAGCAAGATGAAACTATTTATGTAATGAGTAGTGAACGGGTAGTGAAATGATTATTGTACATTTTAAGTGCTCCCTCCATGCATAAGTGTAAGGTAAATTACGGGGATTAATTAGCGAAGATATGGAGACAATTATTTCGAAGTTCCCTCTTTCCAAGAGGGGATGCAAATGCTTTGTGAAAATGAGTACGCCGCGGTACTCATTTTCACAAAGGAATACACTCAGCTGGTTAACTCTAACAATATGCAAATTTACAAGAACACTTGGGAAGAAAGGTGTAATCACGTTATGTTGCCTAGCAAACGTCTGTACTGTAGTGTGGTGAGGGGGGTCCCTACTGATGTACTGTGTATAGCGGGGGACGATGAAGCATAATATATGACTAGGCCTAAGTAGACAGTGCAATTATATGTGATAGAAATTACACTTTCGAAAGAAATAAATTTAAATAAGAAAAAAAAAATTAACTAGCTGTGTATAGCGGGGGACGATGAAGCATAATATATGACTAGGCCTAAGTAGACAGTGCAATTATATGTGATAGAAAGTACACATTCGAAAGAAATAAATTTAAATAAGAAAAAAAAATTAACTAGGGCCTAAGAATAATTCAGTTGCAGATGTACCTTTTTGCTGCGAAGCAGCCAATTCATATTCTTAACAGCAATTTGACCTCTGAAAGGTCATTGTTTGTCAAAAAACAGGCGCCTAAGACTACTGAAAAGCAGAGTTTCCTTCTTTCGTTCTGCCGGGTAAAATCAATTACTTTAGGCGACGTTTGTAGACTAACCTACTCGTACCAACGTCCGCATGTCGCGCTAGCCAGGCCTAGACTAGCTAGGATGTTATAGGCCTAGCCTTGAAGGGACGAACTGCCTTTTATAATCTGTGTATATTGGATCATAACAGCAAAAGCATTTCAGCCTATCAATTGCTTGTGGAGCTACAGGACTAGCCTATCTTTATGGCCTGACCTTAGATTATTCCTGTCTCTTATACACATCTAGATGTGTATAAGAGACAGGTCATGTCTCATATTATTTGTTATATTTTTATTATTCATTATTTTCACTTGACTCGCATAAATAATTTTGTTCGAAGAACATTTATATGCAGTTGTACTTCGCAGCACTTCACTTGCAATTTGCAATTTCTAGTTTAAGTATTATATGGTAACTATGCGGCTCTTGTAGCCCTAGCTAGGCAAGGCATTCATGTGCAAAGCAGTAGTGTTTGTTTATCCATGAAAAAAGCACGCAGGGAAAGTTTGCCTTACCGGGAAAAGGTGACGTAATCTAGCTTTTGACGTATGTATGCTAACTATAGCGCGAGTGTGACGTCACCAAAAAATAAAAATTTTCTATTATAACCAAAATATTAATAACTACAAGGTTTGTGGGCGTAAATTCCCTTAATACGAATTAAGGGTAGCACCATCTGCTTGCCATACAAATTACAGCTCCCATTGACGTCTCAGTCGAGAAATACGGGTAGCTGAAGTTTTTCTCGAAAATCTGACTACGAAACCATATCGGAAATTCATGTTCCACTGACTCTTGAGTTGTGCTTCGCACATGCCACTGAGGGCGGCATTCCGGGAACCCTGCATCCAGGGCGCCATATACGAATCCTCTCCCTAACAATAGTGATAGTAATTTGTTACACTGTGTTAAATTTTTGCTAGCTTTTTGTACGTGGGAATTGGGTACAAGACAAAAGCAAATAATGTAGGTTTAGGGATGGTGTTTGACATGGTGTAGTTAAATTGTACATCCTTATTTTGATTGGGGTTTTCTTGTTGGAATGCCGTACGATTTGATTCAACACAGTTTCGTGAATTGCGTATACTTGCACTTCACAACCAGAAGGAAAGCCGCAAATTATGAGTGCACATTTAGAGAAGCTTACTTTGTAATGTGCCTTGCCAAAGGACGCAAGGGAAATTCATAGCAAGAATTTGAAAACCTGACCTCAGGGTTCAGAGCCCGAATATTAACTACTGCGCCAACTGCCCCCACAAATTACGTAAAACAGAAATTGCTTACTATAGTAATATAGCTATAGTAATGTTGCTACCCATTAATAAATATTACTCATTCAAAACAGCTTTGCTGGTGGTATATTTGTTGCTCAAAAGATGAAACTGAAACCACAAGTATTGGTAACAAGAATATTAAACTATAATTTTTTTGTCTTTTTCAGGAAAAAACACTGAAAATAAAAAGCAAAGATGATATGCCCCCATTACGCAACCCTGAAATACTGATTGGTGAAAATGATTTAACATCACTCAGTTATTTACATGAACCTGCTGTACTTTACAATCTTAATGTGAGATTTATTCAAAATAATGCCATCTATACATATTGCGGTAAGTTTTTACTGTATTTACTGTAGAGGCCATGTGAAGGCATAATATAAGTATGCACATGCTTCTGATAAATCTTCAAAAAATGTAGGAATTTATCAATAATTTGCAGTATATAAGGTAACATAGTTCAAACATGTAGACATATGAAGTTCTTGAGCTTGAGTTTATTATAAGGTATAATATAACTAATAAAATACATAATATACACACATGGGATCGATGAAAGGTAAAGGTAGGGGTTAAGTTAGGTGAATAACCCATAATTCACAGCATCAATGTGTTGGATTACATGGACGTGGTCCGTGACTATTGTGGCAGCTGCAAAGAGGAGCTTAGTAGTTTCATGTTCACATCATTGCACAATGACAGGGACTGAAATGAACCATAGCATCGTGGCAACCCCCTACTCTTCCAATGATGTTTCACCTAAGTAGACCCCACTAAGACTTTTTCTCTGGGTCCGATCAGGTGCGGGCCTGGCAATTACCTTGCACTGGGGCCTGTCACCAACTCGGGAGGTATGGCACCCAACGTGAATAAGCATCATAATTTAATGCAGTATATGGTCTACTCTATGGTTCGTGGAATCTGTCGTAAAGACTTGGGCTATTAAAAGTCATGCACTTTGCTTTACAAAGCAAACATGCCATAAATTTTACAGTTTATAAACAACACAATATAATTATATATTATCGACAAACTATTAGTCATTCTTCAGGCACAACCAGAGCATGAGACACGTTGACAGCTATGATCAAATACTTATGCATTTGTCAATACAATGGACAAACATGCATGTGGGATGATAGTAATCCCACTTAAATTGTGGCATGATTCAACATACACACAGTGACATGACCCAATACATGGTGTTATAATCCACGATTTTTCTACTTAAAAAAAACTTCATAACTTCATTGTTTTCAATCAATTTTGAATTTCCACAACAAAGTTTTTATTTTTTAAGGCATATGTACAACAGATAAAAATAAAGTTCAAATTTGTCCCAAATTGCCAATTTTGGCCTTGAAGATCCTCAAACTACTTAGGCTATGTTCACACACACGGCGTAGGACTGCCGTAGCTTATGCCAGGCGTAAGCTAATTCACGAATTAAAATTCCAAAGTGTTCACACAAACGGCGTTCGCTATTTTAACGCTGGCGTTACACTAGTAGTAATAGGCCTATGGGGGAATAGTTTTAAGTTTTAAATAATGTACGGGTTCTTTAACTGTAGTAAAATTAACAGTGCATCAGTAAAACTTCTAAATCTGTGAATTGTTCGAAGTGAACTTATATGATTATTGTATTTTAAATGAACAATTTTGCTTTGATTTTTCAGCTAGCATTGTTGGTGTTGCAGGTTTTAATAGACAGTCTAAATAGGTTAAAATATCTTACAAAACACAATCAATAA